TACTAGTATTAGTAGTAGTTACCTTATACCTTACTTACTAAAGGGGTTTTTATAACGCTAAGAGAGTCTCTTTACGTATTTAAAGTTTAGCTACTAGATGCTCTCTACGTATTTACTAGTATAGATAAGGTCTTTAGATTATAAGAGAAGCCTTCTCTAGTATAGTATAGTATTAAAAAGGCTCTATAAGAGCCTTCTTGTTATCCTGTCTAAATAAGAGTTTCCTTTCTTAACGCTACTACCTTAACTACCTTAAAGGTATCTAGGACCTTATTACTTACTATATAGGCCCTTAACTTAGGCTTTAAACAATCGATAAGAAAGTAGATACAGAATATCTCTAGAAGAGTATAGCTAAGTTTAATAACTAGAGAGTTATACTATTAAAGGAAATTCCTAAAGGTCTTGTTTTAGTTTTAAGTTAACATTTAGAGTTTTAATACTACTTTAAGGAAGTAAGTACCCTTATCTATAATACTATAAAGGAGCTATACCTTTATTTTTTTCTAAGTTATATTAAGAACTAATCTGCCTTTTTCTAAGAAAATAAAAGACTTCTAGTACTCTTTAATATAATCCTTTAGTACTACTACTATAGTGCCGACACGTTTTTCTTACTGTCTACTCTTTACTATAGCCGCTAGTTCTATAACTTCTACTATTAAGGTGTTAGGTACGCTAACACGTAAGACTATAAAAGCTTAGAAATCAAGTATAGGGTAACTACGTACTACGACCGAGGTAATAGTAGGCATTAAGGAGCATAAGAATAAAGGGTAGAGAGGGAAAAGAAAAGGGGTTTAGAGATTAGTCTATAGTTAAAGTAGCGATATACCTTTAAATATACTACGACTGTCTATTAACTCTTGTCTCTTTTACTCTATAGAAATATACCTAACATTCTAATCTCTCTTCTTTACTAAAAGGTTATAGACTGTTAGAGTAAGAAGTAATAACGTAGATACGACAAATAAACCTTAACAAGACGTAGGCCTTTTCTTAAGTAACTCTTTAGAATACCTCTTTATAGGTAGATAGTAGTAAACCTAGTACGACCCTCTAAATGTTAATAGAAATCCTTTCTTTAAGTAAGACTAAGTTAAATAAGAGGATCGCTTAAGTAAGAGTAGAGTAGCGCCTTAAGTAAAAGTAAGACTACCTTATAGCGCTTAAGAGAAGAGAGGCTCTCTTAATAAACCTATACGAATTTAATAACTCTCTTAAAGTAGAACGGCCCTTTTAGTGAACTTGTGTTAAAGAAACAAGGAAGAGCTATTATAACACCTCTTTTATTCTACTAAAAAATAAGATATATACTAGTATTACAACCTTCTTATTTAACTAGAAAACAGAGTTTAATACTTATCTAGAGAGTTATCTAATAGATACTAGAAAGGGCGGCTATTCCTTTAAAAGGATAAGAAGAGGTTGTAATTAGAGACAGAGGTTATAAAACTTAGATAAAGGTTATTAAACTCGGTCGTAAGATAGACAGAGGTTATAAAACTCGGACAGAGGTTATTAAACTTAGTTGTAAGACAGACAGAGGTCGTAAAACTCGGTTATAAGACAGACAAAGGTCGTAAAACTTAGACAAAAGTTACTAAACTTAGTTATAAGACAGATAAAGGTCGTAACTTAATAAGAAGCCGTAAATAGTTATAGATATAATACGTATAAGGTTAATAAGAGGTATAGGTCTTGTATATGTAATACGCTAAAGAAGCGCTATATAATATAATAAACGTAGCTAAGGTAACGTCCTTACTCTTAGAAGAAAGGTTAAGAGAGTCGAGTCTAGGTAGAGTACTTATGTTAGTAAGGAAAAACTTAGGATAAGAATAGACCTAGATAGCTTAATAAGGACTACTTTTACTAGCGCCTTTCTTAAGACATACGTGTTACTAGTAAGATAGGTAAGCCTCTAATAAAGGTAAAAGAAGAAGAGAAAGCTTATAAAAAAAAGAACCTTATATAAACTTCTTATATAAGACAATACTATTAGGTACTTAGATAAGGCTATTAAAACCCTTAGTATTTTAGAGTTAAAGGACGTCTAGTATATCTATATAAAAAGTAGGTAATTAACGAGTCTTAGTAAGTAGTACTACCTAAAGATAGAATATAAGTTTAATAAAGAAGAGATAGATATCTTCTCTTAGTTCTTATTGTATAGTAGTATTAGTATTCTCTTAGAGAGGTTTAGAGTAAAGGCAGAACGCTAGACTAGACTCTTTATAGAGGCCCTAGCCTTAGATAAGGCTTAACTAATCACGACTCTTAGGTAGTTCTTATTATGTTATTATAGTAAGGTAGTAAGAGGCCCTTTAACCTAGTAAAGCTAGGACGTACTATATATATATATAGAGGTAATCTAGTAGTATATACATCTCTTTATAGAACCTTAAGTAGTTCTACCTTAGGCCTTTTAGTTACGTAAGTATGCCTTAGTTTAATACTATAAATAAGATACGTCTTAAGAGAGGTGTCTTAAGGGCGTTAGTATAGAGTATAGTGCCTAAAGGGTATCTAGATCTCGTTTACTACGTTCTAGTAACAGGTCTTAGAAAAGGCGTGTCTTAAGAGGTAAAGGTAGTACTGTTAACAGTACTAACAATAAACCCTTAACCCTAAGGCATAGGTAGTAAGACTAATAATAATAATAATATAACCTTTTATTATACTAAAAAAAGAAAAGAAAGGAAATTAGCCTAAGAGTAAGAGAAATACTAGCTAAACTCTTACTATCTAGACCTTATAGTACGATTAGGTTATTATATAACCTTAACCTTTTCTTAAGAAAACGTATAATTATACTTATACTTAGCTTATTATTATTACTCTTCTTTTCTTACTTTAAGGCTAGTAGCCCTAGACGATTATCTAAAAAAGCCTATTATATACTACTACTATAAGTAAAATACTTTATACTATAGTCTCTTTATTTATAGTTTTTATATACCTTATTCTAGAATCTAAGTAGTACTTAGTAGTTAAGAAAGACCTTTTAGTTATTTTTATAATATAAAGAATAGCTATTAAGAACAAGTATACTTATATACTATATAAGTATTATATTTATATAAGATAGATAATATATCTATACTTATACTAGAGTAATATAGCTAAAGTAAAAAGGTACGTTACGCTCTAAAAAGGCTAGAGCTTAACGCTACTTATCTATATAAATAAGTTACGTAAGAATATAAAGAGAGGTAATATATAAGATTAGGTACTACTAGGTAGTAAGGGCGTTTAACTATATAATAGTATTATTAACTATATAGATAAAGCTATATACGTATTAGTAGAGGCTAGCTAAAGGTAAGGTAGTATTATATACGTTCTATAGGTTTAGAATAGCTATTTTTTATTATATAAAAAAAAGAAAGGCTTAGTAATAGGCTAGTGCCTACATTAGTACTATATAAGTCTATACTAAGAAAGAGCTTAACTTACTAATCGTTAGGAATAGCTACTTTAGAACGCTTAGTAGTAGGCTAGCGGCTAAGTTAGCGCTATATAAGCTTAGAAGAGAGCTTAACTTACTAATTATTAAGAAGTAGCTACTTTAGAACGCTTAGTAGTAGCTTAATTAATAGATTATAGTACAATTATATAGTATAAAAAAGAAGAGGTAGTAGTAAGAGTAGTAGATTAGGTTGTTAAGGTTAGGTATAAGGAGAGAAGAGAATTAATTTATAGTAGTATAAGGGATTGTCTAGATTACTTACTAAGAAGGGCTAATTAAGGCCCTTATATAGAGTATAGGTTATAAGACTAGGCGTAAAAGAGAAGAAGGGTAATGTTATAGGTTAGAACCTAGTAAAGGGTTAGTACTAAGTACGTAACTAACTAGACTATCGTTACCCTACTCTAATAGTAGTAAAGTTTTCTCTTACCTTTTTGTCTTGTACAAACCTTCCTTCTTTAAAGTATTCTTCTTATAGAATAGAATAACATTTACTTAAACATCGTGTTGTCGGCCTATAACATTATCTAGTATTTACAAAAGCTAGAGATTCCTTCTGTACAGCAATTAATAGAACTAAGCCCTTATTTAGTGTTCTCTTATTTTGTGTGCCCTAAACCTGCGCTGTTGCTACGCTAGTCATATGACTGGTTCGTCTTAATAGCCAACATAATTCTTGGCCTAATAAAGTCAAGTACAAAGGAGTTCTTTGTTTGACTGTAGATTAAACTTAAGGAATACATTTTGGTTCCCCCCTTTGAATTAATAAGTCTTAAGTAAGTCCGCTCCTCGGTTTTGGTTTATCACGCTTCTTTTGCCTTTGTTTTGTATAAGTCTTTTGTTACATACTTTTCTGGTTTTCTTAGGTGGCTTTCAGACCTTTACAATAATAAAACCTGAAGCTCACATTTACATGCCTTTAGAAACAATAATGCTGCCATTCTTTGACCATGAGAATCCTAGTCAGGGAGGAGCTCGCTGCTGATTTGTATGGCTGAAGGCTGAATGAAACTTGATTAGAGCTTATACAGGGTGTATCGGTGGGTGGGTAATCCTATTGTAGCAGACATCATTTGCCCCCGCATTCCTCCTGGGTCTTATACCCCGCTTTCAAAGGTACTCCACATTCCGGTCCCGCGTCACGACCTCCCTGGCAGTAACTAGCCACTTTCCGCAACCTAACGAGGACGGGTATCGTCAACTTCCGAGAAATTGCGAATTATCTGCGTTGCAGAGTGTGGTCTTTTCATCAGAAGTCCTACATCGTAGTTCAGACCGCTACCGCAGCTTCGAGGCCCAGCTGACATGCAGCCCATAATATCACTATCATATTGCATTACCCCAGGTCCCACCTGCTGAAGGTCTGTGGAACCAAAACTGAAAAACTCTTGCTGACTCCTAGACAACACTCTTCATCAAAGACGTCAACCTGGCCCGATTTTTCAATATTTGGTTTTCAGGTCTGCCAGGAACAAGGTCTAGCGGCAAACTATACGCACGGCCTGAGCATTATTCGAGATAGGTATATGCCCAAAGATGGGTATTATAGTAGGCCTTAAAGTCATCAATTATGAGATGAACCCTCCATGCTATCAGTCTTCGGTAGCTACTTCTCAAGCTGCTCTATCTGCCAGTCCTTTAGATCGAAATTTCCTTCCTTCAATAACTCCTTACCTGCATTCCAAATGAAAGTCTTTCCAGCCAACTCTCTTCCATCCGCCAATTTAATCTTGCATCCCTTGACCCTATAAGCGTCTGTCTCGTAGCGCATCAGGTATTCAACGTGCTCCTCCTTCTGAACCTCGTAGGCCATTCCATGAGTAATGGTATTAGCTTTGAAGATCAAAGCAGGATATTGGCCCCATAGCATTATATCCCACCCTACAATGCTAGCGGATTGAAGGGCGGGAGTTTCTTGGAGCTGAAGTATCTTGCGAAGTTGCCTAGCATCCATAAGAGAGCCGTAGAAGAAGAAGTACTGTGGGCGGAAGCCAAGGAAATTGTCACGGTCCGGAGGTGGTTCAAACGCTCGTCCGCTCAGGAATTTGCGGTTGATTAGGGATAGCTTTTGATCTCTATCGATTGGGTCGGCCTCCTCAGTAGATGGTCTGTTCTTGTTAGTAGATGGCTTCTTATTTTCATCGTTGCTTGGCTCCATGATGAAGCGGTAAGGACAACTTAGAAATTTGTGAGGGAAGTTCTTAGATCGTCATGAAAAATGAGTCATAGCCGCCTAGCTTTTTGAGGGCCTCAAGGCAACAACTAGGTTAGTCACGTGGATATCTGTCACGATGCGAGGTTGAGTGTCACGAATGGGCCGAGAGAAGGGAAAGACAGAACGACGCGCTCGGATAATCTAAGCGCTCTCACGTGTCTGACTAATACTAAGCTAAGCTAAGAAGGGCGGTCCCAGCAAACCCGGTTTTAGTAATCTTTATAGTAATCTGTGACAACATCTATATTGCATCTTCCATGTTATCGTCTGAGCAAATTTCTATACTCGCATCCATTTGGGCATAGACCTTCGACCAGACCTCGTCCCCAAAGTGATTGATCTCCTTCTCCCGTAGTTTACCAGGCTTAGTTGGTGTGGCATTCGGAGTGCTTTTCATAGCTGTTTCCATCATAGTGACGATGAAATTGAATACCATCTTTAGATCTTTCTCAAATTCGATCTCAAAGATTGGAGATCGCTCAATACTCCCATCTGCTGTAATACAGATAAATGCAAATCGCGAACCATCGCTATAGAAGCCTTGTGTGATGATGTTCGTTTTCCTCGCTCTTAAACGATTCTCTCGGAGGATAGCAAGGTAGGCGATCAACTGAGCTTCTCCTTTAGAAAATTCCGACCTCTGCTTCGCCTCTATGGCGATCAGTAAAGTGCCCTCATCTCCGGCAGTGCTGTATCCTAAGGCCCAATCAGCTCGGCTAGTGACTAGAATTCTGCCATTCGGTACTAATTTATTGTGCATCTTGACAGACAGAGAGGTTTCTGGAAACAGTTTGACGCGCTTCATTAGTCCCACGTTGACGACAGCTTTTTTAGGGGTTGAGGGATTGGTGGCATCGGCAACGTTGGCCTCAATATTATGCGAAGTCTCGGCGGATTGGTACTTGTGGCGTAGATATTTCCGGCATTGAATAAGTATGATGTCGACCGCGATCCGACAGGTAGCTTCTGAATCCTCATCGTAAAGAGCGTCCTCTAGGTCACGTAGGTTCCGCTCTGCCAGTATAATTAGCACTGGAATGTGTATGCGCAAGTGATGAGTGCTAATACATACTTAGTATTGAAGGAACCTCGACCAGGCTATCATCTGCCAGCGTCCACCGTTTGCCCTTGTCCAACCTGATGTCGAATACTTCTGTAATCTTGGAAATTGTCGTTTCGCTCGCGTTAATCTTCACATTATAATCATTAGTACAAGTTTCAATCATGAACGGAGGCTAGAATAGGCAAGACAAGACGAAATACCTTTTCAACAGCCTCAGATAATTTGATTCGAGAAAGCCACTGGCGCAGGATTTCGACCGGCGAGGCATTGGCTGATGCTCTGATGAGGGATAGCTGTGCCTGTAAAGCGGATCTGAGGAGCAACCTCTCTTTGGAGGAGACGCCTTGGATCTCAGCCTCCAAAGCCTCGATCTCAGCATCAGAGGGTTGTATCTCAAAGGTGGAAGACATTCCGCAAATGTAGTGCAACGGTGGATCGGTGGATTGGTATCGGTGGATCGGAGGATTGGTATCGGTGGATCGGAGGATCGGTATCAGTGGATCGGAGGATCGGTATCGGTGGATCGGAGGATCGGTGTATTAGTGTATCAGACGTTCCAGGCCAGCTGCGACGATGCTGGAGGAGGAGACCTGGAGACCTGGAGTAGTGGCAGAGAATCGCACAGATGCAGGTCCAGCGCCCTGTGAACGGGGGTTGAAAAGTAGTAGTAGTTGTTGGAAGTTGGGTTGAAACTGAGGTTGGGGTTCGGACTGCGGGATTGATTTTGGTTTGATCTGGGGAGGTCTTTTTTTGGGAGTTGTAGTGGAGCCTATGGGATCCTCTGTGTGGGGGATATAACTAGTTACGCCAACCCTATTAGGTAGTGCTAAAGTCATGTGACCACTTTCCATCGCCACAGCGCCCGGCTAATTATAGGTACCGCTGAGCCGCACTAACTAGTTTAGGCGGCAGTCCATAAGGTAAGGTACCTACCGCCATGATAACCAGTCTATTATGTCAAATGGCTATCATAAGGTAATCAGAAATAACCAAGGAGCACTGTTATAATCTGATTTCAACAACAATGACTTCAAGTTCGCTACCCCTATACAGATGTGGCATGAGTGAGGGGGTGGAGCAGGCGGCAGGCTATCAGATGGGCGGGTTTTGTGGATTCAGTCCGTACCCCTGCAGAGCGACATCCGGAAGACGAGATCTGGTTGCGGACATGCTACTTCGACCGAGATGGAAACAGTACGGATGCTGTACACAAGGCCTTGTTCGCTGCAAGCGACCTACCGCAAGAAGAAGAATTGCTCTTTGACGATGTGACACGGTATAACTACGGGTCAGATTGGCAGCGTATTTTCTCCCGGATCCCCCAGTTCGTGTGTGCCCATATTGGCGTCGAGGAGTTCGAAAATATTAAAGCCGAAGCATTGGCAGAGGGAGGATGAACGAGGAGTATGATAAAGCAGAAGTGGAAGAGGGGGGCTACAATCTATCAGAAGATGGGGCACATTGGTCAGACCTTTACAGCTGGTATCACGCGGTCAACTCACTTGGTGTAATATGGGTCGCAGACCAGGAAGCTTTGGAGACCGGAAATGTGCTTATGGCATGGTTCGACGAGTGCGGACGCACGGTGCGACAGGCTCGCACACCCTCGGGGGAAATCCAAAACGTATACGGCCTGGTACTGGGGAATCGCGAGAAAGAACATCACCCCTGGCTGGGCGCTGAAATTGGAGAGAACTATGACGAGGGTGGTCCTTTTGGGCCCCCATTTCCCAATCCCGAATAGACCTCTAGAGCTTAAACTTCGAGCGCCGTGACTTGCTTTCTTCATTCATCTCTCCGAAAGATGGGTTGGGAGTGAACAACCATCCCGGTGTCTCTGTATTGTCCGTCCACTACCAATCTCAACTTAGCCACATACGTTAGCAATATGACAGACTCTGACCCTTTGGGGGTGGTTTATTCGCCGGTAATGGGGCTACGCGGGCGACGCCCAATTCCCGAAGATGATGATCCGTACAGTATGTGAAGCCTGACACCTGATCGACCACGGCTAACGCATGAAGGGTAACAGAACCAGAGATCATTCCTATTGCGCTGCAGAATAGCCTTGAGCCTGGAGTATTACTAGTAGCAATTCATGAGGGTCTTGGCCTCTCAGTCCCGCAGTATGAGGCGGCCCTCGCGCATGGAAATGGTACCTCCAACATCACATCCCAAAGTGGAGGAGGCCTTATTCTTCCACTTTCTGATCATGATAGCCTGCCATATGCCACTCTGGAGTTGGACGGATCTGAAATCTCCGTCAGCGCCGCCTCTGGGACCAGAGAAAACCCAGTATGGTCAACAAAATTGAGAGATAGGATCCACAAGTTTGACATTTTTAGAGCTGCGGAGTTGACAATACGTCTTTACACGAGGAACCTGGGCCATCGTGAAGGAAGCCACGATGTATTATTTATCGGCTGCGCGAAGATGAATCCTGTCTTTGGAGACGAGGTCCAAACAGAATGGCTGCCAATCAAGAACGGCACTGGCAAATTGCACGTCGAGGTCGAATACGTCAAGAATAAGACACTGCGTATTGAGACGTCGAAGAAACCTCGCTTCTTTGGTTCTGTTGCTAGAATCCGAAGGTCTGGCTCCCATAGCTGCTACGCATCCATCCATATCCAAAAGGCTGACCTGTCACCTCGCTGCGACGTGATGCAGGCACATCTTTTACCAGTCAATAATGGTCCGTTTATCGCACCGCTCAAATTCATTGCGCAAACACGCTCGCAGTTTTGTTTATTTTGGCCATTTGTTTCTGGTGGACACCTCTTCTACCATCTACAACGGGCGCAGCGCTTCCACGCTGACAGGGCAAGACTCTATGCCGCAGAGATTCTGGTCGCGCTGGAGTGGCTGGACGAGGTAGATCCTTCTTATCACGAGCTGAAGCCGAAGAACATTCTCCTAGATTCCGTAGGGCATGTCGTTGTCTGCGATTTAGGTCTTTTGCGTCTAGAGATGAAGAACATGGAAACTACGAGTGATAGTGCGGCGGTGGATTACCTGGCTCCCGAATTGCTCGCCGGCAACGCGTCAGCACCGACTAACACTACCGCATCAAAGTGGTGGACGTTGGGGGCTTTCCTATTCGAGATGCTAACGGGGTCGCCTCCTTTTTACGATGAAGACGTGGAACAGAGACGCCGTAACATCCTCTCGGAACCTCTCGTGGTGTCCGGATTGCTACCAGCATCTACGCAAGATCTTCTAAATAAACTGCTTACTCACAAGTCAGATGACCGACTCGGGTTTAACGGGGCATCTGAAATCAAGGCTCATCACTATTTCGATGGCCTCGACTGGGATAAAGTTGCACGGCGAGAATATGAGCCTGCGTTCAAGCCCCATGAATTTGCAATGAGCTTTGAACAAGAAGGAAAACGCGAAACTGCCGAAAGCGTGAAAGAGAGGTTTTCGGGTTGGAGCTGGGGCACGCCCATGCCTTTCCAAAGGGATCCGGCCGTGCCAGCTGCTGTGGAGTCTCATCCTGTTGCTGATGAGAAGACGGAGGATTGGGAACTGGTCTGGCAACGTAAAGACCAATCATTCTATTTCTATAATCGCTCTACCGAGACGAAAAAGCCGATCGTCGCCGCACGCTCATATCTACCGAAGCGGCCTGATGAAACGCAGGAGGCACTTGAAGCAGTGCTGAAGAACAAGTATATGCATCTGGTTCCCACAATGCTGGAGGAATACAGCGTCAATCTAAACTTTCAGCTTGGTTTTACCCAAACAACACCACTAGATTACATCACAGGGCTGCAAGAAATCGATATGGTGCGACTGTTCCTCGCAAATGGCGCCGACGCCAATCTAGAACATGGGTATATCTTGGGGGGCCGACCGTTGCTGACTGCAGTGCAGAAAGGAAATCAAGAGCTCGTGCAAATGCTGGTTCGGAGAACAGACCGCATTCCTTGCACTAGAGCATTGGGCCATGCCGTGAGCAAGCAGGATACCCCGATTGTCAACATCTTGCTCGCAAACGGGGTCAAGTGCGATTTTGAAGAGGCAGACCGGCCACGATCCGCTGGCAACTATAGCGAATTCAACCTGGAGATGAACGCGACGACTGTCAGGGACAGTTCCGAACCAGAAGAGTACATGCCACCACTCGTCCGGGCCATCAGTCTGGGTGATGCGGACCTGGTGCGGCTGCTGCTCGCTCACGGAGCAAATGTCAACGCCGGCTATCATGATTTGGGCACTCTCCTGCCGGGTGGATTTCCATCTTGGTTTGACCGCATTTACATGCAATGCGGTAGGCCGATACAGTTGGCAATGGAGCTGGGACACGAGGATCTGGTGCGGCTACTGCTCGAGAATGGTGCAGATATCGGCCTTGCTCAGCCGGTTTGGCGGTATCACGACTGCAAAATGATTTCAAGGGAGATCCATCACCAAATCACAGCACGGCTAAGGTCGATAGCAGCGTCGGTAGCCCAAGGTATAATGTCTCAAACAGCGCTTTCCTGACTTGATCTGCATATATTAGAAAGTGAAAACAAGAAGCATAATTTTTCAATTGCCCTGAGCGCCGCGTGTTCAGTGTTCACTCCCCATACTGTGGCATTCCCATTAAACTTGCATCCACCACCTTGTAGCCAGCCACAGTCTACCTCAGACTTCCAATCCTTATAGGTCAGGCCGTATATATAAAACCCTAACCTATAGAGATCTATTGCGCAGCCTACCTAGTACCTACACTCTTAGAGCCTGGGGCTGGTTTCAGGCTACACCTGGATCTGGGTCCGTGCGCGTCAGGCATCTACTAATATCTTATCATCAACAATGCACTTCACCTATATAAACAAACCTGCTATCCGTTAAACCTATTCACCTTTTACATTCTTATAATGCGCTTACTCGTCCTTCGGAACCTCTCTGCTGTAAGGAGCTCTTTCTCAAGAACCATGTCGTCTCTTGCTCCTGGACACCTTCTTCAAGGCGCCCATTGGGACTACCGTATTGAAAATGCTGTTAAAGGAGATAACACACACGCATCCGCCGTCTTCAAAGCTAAGGTCGTTCCACGTGAACATGCCCCTAATGCCCCCCGATGGTTCGTTGTGTTGCATTAACTATGTCCAAATCCTGACACTGACTCGGCCCCCAGGGCTATCATCAAAAAAGCTTCGCCTGACGATAAAACTGCCACGGAAAACCTGTACCGTGAATACCAGAGTTATCTCCTCCCTGGTGTCGCCTCGGCCAAGTGCTTCCGGCAAATGTACGATGTGATTGACAACCACACCATCGCTTTGGAATGGCTGGACACTACTCTTGCAGATGTGAAATACCAGCCTGACATGCGCACCTACGGCCTCATCAAGACGGTCCTAAAGGAAACGTTGACCAGTTGCGACGTTCTAGACGGCCAACAATGTGTGAATACAGGTACTATCTGATGTTGAAAAGTTGGCATCCGCTTATTAGCCCAGACTACAAACCCGCCAATATCCTGCTTTCTGGCATCGAGACTGGCCATGTTATCGCCAAAGTAGGGGACTTGGGACTCGGTAAGCAAATATTGCTAGACGAGACAGACGCTTTTACTGACAAGCTTACAGTTGTTCCGGCCGGCTATCTTTTCAACGCCCAGCCATACGCCATGCGCGCCCCCGAAGTCTTCCTAGGCCAGGCGTGCACTAAGCCATCGCAGGTCTGGGCAGTTGCCGCGATGCTGCTTTGCTGGATCAAGCCTGGTGTCTTGGGCGCGGGGGACAGCCCTCATCCTTACGTCAACGAGGCTTGGTGTATGGCAAAGATCAAACGGCTCTTTCCTAACTGGTATATTCCTACTCCTGACGAGGTCGAGCGCCCTACCCTTAAATCCGCAGTCGAATTTGCTATACGTTTTAGTAAAGAAGAGCTAATACCGCAAGCGATCTCGCCTTTTGAGAAGGAGAGCCAAAAGGTCAACATACCAGAGCAGTTAAGGGACCTTCTTCGTCTCATGTTAGTGGTCAATCCGAGCGAAAGGCCCTCCGCCTCGGCTATGCTAGGGTCGAGGGAGTTTCAGGCGGTTCAGGATGCTATGATTTAATCAAGTTGAAGGACCGCATCTTGTTCCTATTGTGATCCGTTATAACAACGATCGCCTGCTCTCTCTTAGCCTGAGTACTTCTAACGAAAATGCGGCAAGAGTCTAACCGCACGGCGATTGCTAACTCTTTTAAAGAGTTTCCGTTTCCTAACGAGACCCTGGCACACCTCCTAACGAGAGAAATGTCAGACCTTCTAAACCGGGCAAGACATACATTAAAGACGGCGCATGCCAACAACACTTTGGCTGTTTGTCGCTGACCTATAGTTCACCCGTCTATCACCGACCAATAATCCACAGGACCGCAGCATAAACTCAAAGTAACTTGATATATATGTTTAGAGACATCTTTTATCAGTGCAATTAAGACACGCTGGACTGAAGCTCCCTTGGATTCTTGACTAAGCAGAGACAGCAAAGAATATGTCTGATGAGGGTCTGATTATGTATTATACAGATGTTTGAGATATTTTGTTGGATCTGACGAGTACAAGAGTAACTTGGTAAGTCTTTACATTTGAAGCCAGGCATCATGAAAAGGGCTCTCTTGAAAATAGGAAGAATAGTAGATAAAGTATCAAAGATAAATTCCACTCAATAAAGCTAGCAAAACTGTTCTTCTATATTTTCTTGCACAGCTTACAAAAGTTCATTATATTTATAGAGTCACTGCTAAAATAAATGATCATACTGGTGCATGAACAGAGAAAGAAAAATATCAACAATATCAAGTGCAAACTTATGCGGTCATATTATTAAATATAGTCCGTAACTCTCATTAATACGTCTTGCAGTGGTTTCTTAAAAGAGCTCATTATTTTATCCTTCATGATTCTTTCAATTCGTACATAAATTACTGTTTTAGAGAAAGTGTCGTGATTTGCCTTGATTGAAATTCTTTCTTGGCATGTCTACTTGTTGCCGCCCTGATGTATCATTATGCTCGGTAACATTGGGTAGGGCTGATGCGTCGATCAACAGAGAAGACTTGGCCAGCTTGGTCAGAGAAGTAAAGGTCTCCCTTATGTGAGCGTATTACTTCATAGTCCGACATAAGGGACTCTTCTTATCTAAGCTTATCTTCGCCATCTCCCTTGTCCGCTTATCACAAAGTCCATACGCGCGCCTCCCACCCTTGTTATACGCGCTTCCCTCCGGCAGAAAAGAATTTCAGGAGTGATCTCTATAGAAGAATAATAAGTACCTTCACAATACTTTACCTTGGTGATTACCCCAGAGAACTAGTATTACTCGTTGAATATTTAACATCTAAAGCGGCCCGGCATGAGCTTCTAAACGCGTTGAAATAAACCAAAGAACAGCCGGCGACGGCGCGGTCGTAGTACGAGGGGCGACGGCGAGGTCGGTAACGCCCCGCGCTTATCGCTTCCTCAGGATAAAATGGAGATGGTCCTCGGGATCGGAACAAGGAACATCGGGTTGAATTGTCTTTCCTCTCAGGATCTTTCAACGGTCAAATAGCAAATATGGCAGATCTACCACATGTATCGAATTGGGTCAACGGTGCTTATACATCCCCGACGACAGAGCGCATACCGGTTATAAATCCTGCAAATGAGGCCCCAATCGCTACAATTGACGCGACACCACGTGAAACTGTGGACAACATCATTTCCGATTCTCTTCTAACCTTCAGAGATGGGCCATGGTCACAGGCAGATGCGTCCGATCGATTTGCAGTGCTGTCCAAGGCCGCGGTGCTACTCCGCTCTCGCATTCCCGAATTTGTTGAACTGGAAACCCGTCAGACAGGACGTCCTGTCCGCGAGATGCGTGCTCAGCTGGCCCGTGTGCCAGAATGGTTGGAATATTTTGCGTCCCTGGCACGCGTACACGAAGGTCGTGTTACCCCCTTCAAGGGACCGGTCGTGAATACTCTTACCCGTCTTCCCTTGGGCGTTGTAGCTCAGATCACTCCTTACAACCATCCGCTGCTCATTGCAACGAAAAAGATCGGCGCTGCCCTTGCGGCAGGGAACGTGGTCATTGTGAAACCATCTGAGCTCGCCCCTCTATCTGTCTTGAGACTCGGCCCTCTGTTCAAAGAGGCCGGTCTGCCCGATGGGGTGTTGCAAATCATTTGTGGCTACGGGCGCGAGACTGGGAAGTTCCTGTGTGAGAACTCACATTTGGCTAAGATTGACTTGACAGGAGGCTTGGCAACGTACAAGGCTATCGCTCCATCAGCTGCTGAGAACATGATCCCAATCACAGCAGAACTGGGCGGCAAAGCACCGGTCTGTTTGTTTCCGAGCTTAGATGTGGAACAGGCAGTCAAGGCAGCACTTTTTGCGAGCTTTATCGCAAGTGGACAGACTTGTGTTACCGGGAGCAGACTGCTGGTGCATGCAGATATTTACGATCGATTTGTGAACCTGTTGGAGAGACGGGTCAAAGCACTACGGTTGGGCGATCCAACGAACGATCGAACACAGATTGGAGCAGTCATCTCGAAGGCCGCCGTGGAGAGATGTTCTGCATTTGTGGCTCGTGCTGTAAAGGAAGGAGGGAGAATCATCTGTGGCGGTAATCCAACGAATCTGGATGGCAAAGGGTTCTTCTTCGAGCCGACAATCATCGAAACGCATCCCGATTCCGATCTGTCCTGCAACGAGGTCTTTGGCCCCGTCATTGCGCTCCTGAAATGTGAGTCGGAGGACCATATAATTAGCATCGCGAACGGCACTTCTTTCGCGTTAGGAGCCTCGGTTTGGACGAACGATTTCAACCAGGCCCACCGGGTTGCAGCAAAGATGGAGGCCGGTATTGTCTGGATTAACGGACACCACCTCAACGACCCCTCGTCGCCATGGGGTGGCTTCAAGGAGAGTGGCGTTGGCAAAGAGAATGGACAAGAAGCCTACGAGAGTTACACGAAGGTCAAGAGTACTGTCATCAATCACGGCGTTCCCCCTAATTGGTTCGACGATGAGCCTGAAAAGGCGCGATATGGCTAGGGGGACGACATGTTGGATGGAGGTCATAATATCCCAATACGGTTGACCGAACGATAGCATAACATAGCTCTTCAACGTTCAAGGCAATTTTCATCACCGTTGCAGTAGTGCTGTCCAGTATTACCTCTAATAGAGACCCGCTTGTGTTTTTGAATCCACACATCCATGCTCATGCTTTTGATAGAATTCATGTATGTTACTTTTTACAAAAGGATCAACGAAGCAATCTTATGCATTGGTAGACTGATTTTATTAAAACACCAAGTGTTTTCCTACATAATATATAAAATATGTAGTAGCATGCAAGTCCAAATCAAGTAGCCAGGCATATATGATATATATACGTACACGATATTGATTCTTGAACTAATTGGGTATTACAGGAGTTGGCTTGTCCCAAGTGTCTTGCTCAGCAGCATCCACCATGAAATTGGCTACGCTTGTTCGAGTCCGCCATCATCCTTGGGGAAGATACAGGTTTTGAAAACGGATTATTAGAAGCGCGGACTGAGCTGAGTGCCACGATCACTGCCGACGGAGGATTCGAAGTTGCTGTAAAGCTCATTTCGACATCCGACTCGTTCAGGGGTGTGCCTATTTTGATCGCGTCTCACGGGCGATAATAGACAGTACATAGTGGAGGGCCACTACGATCACGACTGAGTAAAGCAATCCCCGCAGCGAGTTGTCCGCCCGCTGAGAATCCACCAGTCATCAACTTCCTGGGGTTGATCCCCAGCTCATCCAGATGCTCGTGCAGCTATAAGCAGTGCTGCGTAACAATCCTCGAGGGGAGTGGGGTCTGGATGCTCTTAGGGCAGTCGACGTGTCGCGGAAACGCAAATTTATGTTCTATTCAATAAAATACTCAGGGATAATTTGCTGCGTACATAGAATGAACTAAGGGCGACGGTGGTAGGTATCTTTCACTGACTTTCAGCCTTCAGGAATAGAAAAGAAACTTCCTTAAATATCATACTTACGAGTTTGACGCGTCCCAAATGATAGACCTTGCTTGGCCTTCGTCTTCGCCTTCGCGTATATATTCGGAACTCGGTGTAGGTAATCGCCCAGCTCAATAGTAACATATCAACGCGCCTCGTTCTGAAGACAATGGCCGAGATCCCTACCTAGACTCGAATGATGAACGGAATGCAAACATAACAAAGAGTGTTCGCTTCTCCATAGGGCTTTGCTGGACAGACTAACTACTTGCATTTGTTGCTTGGTGGTGTGTCCTATCCGCTCCTCTCAACATGAACAGATGATGCAGGTAAGGTGGAGTCCTCCTCAACCTTCTCTACATCCTGCTTGCTAATCCAGCCGGAGTGTGTGAAGACTGTATTTGCTTGATCGGCTACTACTCCATTGCCTACATCCAATCATCTCGTATAACTGTAAGGAGTCTGCCTATTTCCCGCTTTGCCATGCCATGCAACCACCAGATCTCGTCCACCATCTAGATCAGCCCAAAGAAATGTGCTGTAATAATTAAAGCCCCTAGATTGCTTGCTTCCAAAGTGATATAAGTAGCGGGAATGTCCTGCTTGAAAGCGCTAAAAGTCTTCTTCGTGACGAGTCTGTTCTTCCCCACCTTGGCCTCGGATATAATAAATCCAATCAAGATATTTAACGGCACTTTTCATGCGCTACTTAGCGACAACGCCCCGACTATAGATTCCGCGATCCAGGGACGCAATAGCTAAAGCTATAATGTTCACGCATCGCAGTGCCTGATCCCAAGCTATAGGGTCATTGTATTGTCCTCTACAAGCCGGCTCTTGCCGCAAAAGCACAGACTACAGTGCAATTAAGACAGAGGAAGTAAACAAAAGACATGAATTCTTATTGATTTGGGACAGCATTTCATTGCACCCTCTTACCCTCGGTCAAAATTGACGTTACGGAAGCCATGGAGAAATCGCTAGGGTTGAGGAGTCTGAGATGACGTAGAGTTTCGTCAGGGCCTTCGCTATTCAAGGATGTTGGTTTGATTGTCCAACGCTCGATTTATTTTCTAAAAGGGCGGCTGGGAAGTTGTGGAATTAGGGAGAGAAGGTGAGCCATGGTCATTACTAACAAGAGTCTGGGGCAGACTCCGAAAGGAGTCCATGGTAAGGGGGTGAAAAAATCACAGATATTTTTGGCTCAGCAATGTGTTTTGCTGCATTGTCCAATGGAGGTGTTGCATCGGTATCTCTTGCCGGCTCACGCTTGGAGGAACAGATTTGAGGTTATATAGAGCAGGTATGCAGATAATAAGCAACCGTGATTACTAAAGAAGTTGTTTGGCAAGCAAGCAGAATGCAATTTCGCCAAGTACAGAGGCCTTTCTGCTTTCTGCGCCACAGGAGAGAGCCCAGACTTCATCACCCGCAGCCGATCTACTACGAGGCAGGATCAATGCCAGATCAAGTCACCAACCATCTCTACCTAGGTGCCGTAGAAACGCAAGGGGGTCAGAGATGGGCGCTGGGGGGGTAGAATGACGGGAGGATAATGGATGGATGGACGGATGTGTGTATCTGATGTGGCACATAGGTATAACCTGCAGGGCGGTTGTGTGCGGTAAGTGAAACGGCGGGGAGATGTGGCATTGATTGCAGAGGAGGGATGTTTGAAAACCAATGGATCAGAGAAAGCGGAGAAATCGGAGGAAAATTATGGATAAATAAGAACAAAGAATCACGCAGAAGTGACAGAGAAATGACAACAAATAATAAAAGCAACAAGAAGATACGAGAGAAATAAATAACAAACAACGACGACAAGACGAAGAAGAGCCGCATCGACCCGTCTGGATCGAGGCTGAGTAAGCGAGTCTTGGCTTTCGATTGGCGGGGAGATCGGCATGCTGTCAGGCAACATCCCTGTCGCCGATGCCGCGATGCCGCATGAGGCTCTCCTTAATCAAAGCACCCGGATTACACTAGAGGTGGAATTATTACTTTAATAATCAATAATTAATCAACAGAAATATAATATAATAATAATGTAATATATGGCACTAACCGCAGGTGAAACCGCGACAGAGAAAGTACCAGAAGCAAGCAAGACCCATTCTCGTTGCGGTATTAAATTGATGAATTAATTGCAGGCGCAGAGAGGCGCTCCTTTCGAAACCGCCACTTCGCGGGTGTCACGGGGTGGCGCCCCTGACGGCAGCGTAGTGTGTAGTCTGGACCGGCGTAGGCCTCAGTACTCGATGCTACACATCTGCGGTCCCGACGGTACGATCCTTGGAGGCGCGGCTTATGTCAGCGGCACGGGGGCAGAAGCGAGAAGCGAGAAGCGGCGCACAGGTACGCGGAGGCGCTAGGCCGCATGGGGAAGTCGCGTACCTTGCATGACATCTCCCCATAATATTACGGGTGTTTCGTCTTCTTTATCGTCGTCGTCGTCTTCGTCTTCTTCTTCCTCTTTTCTTCCTCATCCATCTTCCGTTTCATCTTCAACCTTCGCCCTTTTCTCTTCTCTTCTCTCTTCTGCCTTCTCGTCGTCTTGACGGCAATTCCACTCATTCAGAGACCCCTCGATACAGACACTCTCACCCCCCCCCTTTCTTTGTCCCTCCTTTGCAGCGCCGAGACGTGTCGGAACGACAAACCATCCATTCATTCATCCATCCATTCATCTATCCGGACTACTTGCCTCCTCCCATTCTTCGATAGAATCCCATCCCTCCCGCAACTACAGCAGCGCTGCCGGTTCGATTCCACCGCTCTCCAAGCAACCTAACCCCTCCCGCGCGTCCACTTTCTCGAAGAAAGTCAACACAAAACAAGCAACCCCGACGAGCATCAACATCAACAGGGCCAACATGCGCTCTTCCTCCTTTCTCGCCCTGCTCGGGGCCGCCCTGGCCGTGGCATCCCCCGTCCACATGAACCTCCACAAGAAGGCCATTGCCTGGGACATCGTCACCGATATTGTCACCGTCACCGTCACCGAGGGCGCCCAGGGCAGCAGTACCCCGTCCGGGACACCCACCACCGTCGTTGTCAAGCACACTGTCTATGCGAATCCCATCGAGGACTCCGCCGCCAAGGCCGTAGCCATTCCATCCTCAACCTGGTCCTCATCCTCGGTCTCCATCTTGACCTCGACCTCGACCTCGACCTCGATCTCGACGTCCACCTCTGCACCACCCCCACCTCCACCTGCACCCCCCGCGCCGACCTCGACAAGCGCCGCTCCCGCTACGATCGAGGCTCCAGCCGTGGTGGAAACTAAAGAGGCCGCACCAGTTGCTCCCAGTAAGCCCGTTGTAGCCGAAGCCGTCAACTCTCCTGCCGCCAATTCTCCCGCAGTCAGTTCCCCTTCCGTTGCGGCTGCTCCTGCGCCCTCTCCTACGGACTACTCCTCGGCCGCTGTCCACTACCACAACCAACACCGTTCGAACCACTCGGCCCCCGCTATAGCCTGGAACCAGACGCTTGCTGATTGGGCTGCCAACACCGCTTCGACCTGTGTCTTCAAGCACGATATGTGAGTGGAAGATGACGTTGATTATCATCACTGCCGGTACGTAACTAACGTCGACATAGGACCCAGGGTACGGGCAACTATGGCCAGAACATTGATGCGACGGGTTCATCCAATCCAATTGGTGACTGGGATACCGCTACAGTCGTCGCGAACTCCATCGTCAATGACTGGTATTATGGCGAGTACTTGAACTTCGTCCCCTACTACAACAACCCCAGCCCCCCGGATTCCTCATCGACACCAGAGTATCTCCACTTCACGCAGCTTGTGTGGAAGGAGAGTCAGACTGTTGGCTGCGCATCCCACTACTGCCCCCAGAACTCAGTCCTTTCGGGCGACTTTTATGGGTGGTACACGGTCTGCAACTACTTCCCCGTAGGCAAGTCATCCCCGCTCCAGTCAGAGGCCTTTCCCCCTAACCAAGATCACAGGCAACATGGAAGGGATCTTCAATACTCAGGTGACCCCACCTATTGGAAACATCGCCGACACCGTCAAGGTCTCTCTCCCATCCTCGTAGGCCAACCCTTCCGGAGAGCGTTCTGCATGGGCCTTGGGACATTGCTCTGGAAGCGCATCCTACAGTACTCTTCCTGTATGAACGACATTAGCAGGCATCTATCGCTATCACCCATTACTTAGACACAACCTATCAAATCCTGCTCGCTGCGCATGTTGGACCACACCGTCACGCCTCTGGAGGGTGATGAATCTGCTTCCATTCTGAGAGCTCAGTCCGAGTCATCTTTTATCGTTTCGATGTACCTCCATGGCCACACAGCTGTGGGTGCCTCGGCCCGGAATGTTCAATATTGGACTATCCCCGTCGATATTGGCGCCTCATCTTCGTGGGACATCTAGGCATTTGCTTCTTTCACTTCTTGTACATAAATTCTCAAACATGGTTTGTCTACATGTATCATCGCCTGCCCGTGGCTTGAGTAGACCGGTTTTCTTCCATGGGGCGGTCCGGATCATGTCCTCGAGAGACTTGTATGAGACGTGGTAGCTTGGACGCCTTCGAGGTCGGATGACGGCTGAAGGTGGTATAAATAACGGTAGTCAGCTAACATGATGATGACGAATAAGCAGTGCTCTCAGTAGTTGGACGTTTTATGTGTTATGTCGTTGAAGTTGAAGTAAAAGTAAAAGTGTCCTTGGCATGTGAATCAAGTAAGGAACAAAAAAGCAGCTTTCGAAGGTCTAAAATAAATGTATCGAGTATTGAGCCTCCGAGTCCGTAGTCAGCATGGGTCCGAGTGGCGTCAGCGATAACGACGGAAGATCCAAGAACGCAGGAAATCGTAGTATTTAGTGCGCGCTCTATTCAAAAGCCCATCTTACCTCTTCTTCGCGACACCGCGACAGCATCATCACCACCACCACTGTTCAGAGGAACCATTCTGCAGAACGCGCGTTGAGTTGATACAGCAATCGGAACTTCGAAGCTGGTTGTACCCCGCCACCACGTCCGAACATCGTGCCGTCTGAACACACCAGAAACCCCCGCCGCGGACTCTGAGCGCACGAGGGAAGACAATCGTTGCGCCGCCACCCAGTCTATTCATTCATCGTCGTGCTCGTCCGTCTCCAATCGCAATCACCGGAAATCTCTTCTTGCCATCGCACACAGCGATACGGATCCGACGGGGTCACGATGGCTGCGCATCGTCGCGGTGTGGATGTCGAGGGGCAGGGAATCGGCCATGCGCTGAAGGGCCAAGACCGTCTGGGGCAGAACCTGAAAGTAGAGGAGGAGAAGCCGCAGAAGCTGGTGTTGTCGAACAGGGCCGGGGAGAGCAGGAGTCCGTACGTTCGGGCACACTCTGCTAATCCCGTCGCATGGCAGATCTGGGGCGACGAGGCCATTGCGCTGGCCAAGAGGGAGAACAGGCTCTTGTTTGTGAGCATTGGCTATAGTGCTTGTCATTGTGAGTACCTTGGGGAAGAACGGTCGTTGATTCGAGGCTGATAACAAAAGGGTGCCATGTCATGGAGCGCGAGTCCTTCGAGAACGAAGAAGTGGCTGCCATTCTCAACGACTCCTTCATCCCGGTCAAGGTCGATCGTGAGGAACGCCCCGACATCGATCGTATCTACATGAATTTCGTCCAGGCCACCACAGGATCGGGCGGCTGGCCCCTCAACGTCTTTGTCACGCCTGATCTCGAACCCGTCTTTGGGGGGACCTACTGGCCAGGGCCGAATAGCAACACAACCCCGTATGAGGACCAGGTCGACTTTCTTGGGATATTAAATAAGCTGAGCACCGTATGGAGGGAGCAGGAAGACCGCTGTCGTCAAGACTCGGCACAGATTCTCAAACAACTCAAAGACTTCGCCGCTGAGGGCACATTCGGTGACCGGCTAGGGGAGGGTGGGGAAGGGCTTGAAATCGAATTGCTGGAGGAAGCGCATCACCATTTTGCCTCGACCTTCGATAAAGTCAATGGCGGTTTTGGATCGGCTCCGAAATTCCCCACTCCCTCCAAACTGTCCTTCCTTCTTCGCCTGGGTCAATATCCCCAGGTTGTCCAGGACATTGTCGGCGAGTCGGAGTGCCAGGTCGCTGAGAACATGGCCATCTCAACCCTGCGGAAGATGGCTCGCGGTGGGATCCGTGACCACATTGGAAATGGATTCGCTAGATATTCCGTCACTGCGGATTGGTCTCTGCCCCATTTTGAGAAGATGCTGTACGATAACGCACAGCTCCTCCACATATACCTGGATGCCTTCCTCCTCTCCCGCGATGCCGAATTCCTCGGCGTTGTCTATGATATCGGAGAGTACCTGACAACCACGCTTGCTCATGACGCCGGGGGCTTCTACTCTAGTGAAGACGCGGACAGTTTTTATAAGAAAGGCGACGCTGAGAAGCGCGAGGGTGCATTCTACGTATGGACCAAGAGGGAGCTGGAGAATGTTCTCGGCCCACAATCGGAACCTATCCTATCTGCCTTCTACAATGTCAGCAGCCACGGAAACGTGGCGCCAGAGAACGATGCCCATGACGAGTTTATCGATCAGAATGTATTGGCCATTGTCAGTAATCCAAGTTCTTTATCGAGCACATTTGGGGTCAAGGAAGAGGAGGTGGTGAGGATCATCAAGGAAGGAAAAGCCGCTCTGAGGGCACACAGGGAGAAGGAAAGGGTGAGGCCCGCTCTAGACGATAAGATTGTCGTCAGTTGGAATGGGATCGCCATAGGAGCGCTGGCTCGGACTGCGGCCGTCATAAAAGGATTTGACCCGGAGAAGTCGAGTCGCTTCCTCGCTGCTGCTGTCAAGGCGGCTAGCTTCATCAGAGACGAGCTCTACGACAAGGAGACGAAGATTCTGTACAGGGTGTGGCGCGAGGGGCGGGGAGAGACACAGGGCTTTGCTGATGACTATGCTTTCCTCATCGACGGACTTATTGACCTTTACGAATCTACATTTGACGAGTCGTGGCTTCGCTGGGCAGACGACCTTCAACGTAATCTCCCCCACCCCCAACATCCCTCTCCTATACACCCCTAACTAACCACTTCCCCAGAATCTCAAATCAACCTCTTCTACGACACCCACGGCACGGGCGGCTTCTTCTCCACGGCCTCCTCCGCCCCGCACATCATCCTCCGACTCAAAGACGGCATGGACACCAGCGAACCCTCCACCAACGGCATCTCCGCCTCCAACCTTTACCGCCTCTCCAGCCTCCTCAACTCTCCGGCCTACGCCCTCAAAGCCAAGGAAACAACCACCAGCTTCGAATCCGAAATCATCCAGTACCCCTGGCTGTTCGCCTCCTTCATGCCTAGTATCGTAGCTGCTCACCTTGGCATCAAGAGTATTGTGGTGAGTGGGAATGGGAGGGGAGAGGCGAAGATCCGCGCGTTTGCGAAGCAGCCGCGCGGTGCGCTGGGGACGTTTGCGAGGCTCGAGGGCGGCGGGACGACGGCGTCGTGGTTGCGGGAGAGGAATTCTCTGCTTACAGATTTTGGGAGAGATGGCAGGACCAGGATACTGGTGTGCGAGAATGGTACGTGTAGGGAGGAAGATCCGGGGGAGGTTGAGGAAGAAGAGGGGGGGGAAGGTGGTGCTGCTGCTGCTGTTGCTGCTGTTCTGCAAGAGACCAATACCAAGAGCGAAGCTGTGGCTGTAGTAGCTAAGGCTGAGTCTGGGGAAAAGGAGGAACAACGGCCCGTGAGGGAAGGGGGTGATGCTAAACTTCAACCTTAGGAGTGGGCCTCTTCTTTTATTTGAGGGAATGGATCGATGACAAGGCAATGGATCGATAATAGATACTTATTGTAAGGTAGATGGATATATTACGGTATGATATATATATAGGCGGTATTTTAGCGGGGGGGGATGGAACGAGATGAAATGGAAATCATTATCTTAACTCGTCTAGATATACATACATACCTACTCATACACATACATACATCCATACCCGTCTATAACCCATCTAACCCACCCATCCGTTCCAACACCAATAAGCACAGAATAATCCAGCCCTCCTAAAGCCCCCCCTTCCCTCTCCCCGGACTCTTCAAGCCAAAAAACCCTAGCATGCACACCCCCAAAACCCCCATCGCCCCCACCGTATACGCTCTCTCCCTCCCCGCCCACCAATAAACACTCGTGAACAGCAACGGTCCCAGTCCCCTCCCAAGCTGTCCCCAACTCCTCAAACCCCCCAACTTCCTCCCTCGCTCCCCCGTGCCACTTTCGAAACTCGAGAGCGCATTCAGGCCTGTGACTACCGTAGCGGTAGTGATCGCGAGCAGGGTAGCAGCGGCGTAGAGACCGGGGATGGAGGAGATGCGGGCGAGGAGGAAGAGGGCGCAGAGGCAGGAGATGAGACCGATGCGGATGCTCAGGAGGGGGGGGAGGCGTCGGGTGAGGGTGCCTTGGAGGAGGGAGGAGATGAGGCCCATGTAGCCGAGGAGACGGCCGTTGCGAGAGGAGGTGTAGCCGAAGAGGTCGTAGGTCATGAAGGGGAGGGAGAATTCCATGCCGGAGAAGAAGAGGATGAAGGTTAGGTGGGTGAGGTTGAGGAGGAAGTGGGAGTTGGTGCGTTGGATGGGGGGATCTGACGGTGGTGTAGGTTTTGTAGGTGCTGGTGCGGAGGTCTTTGTGGCTTCCGCGGACGCGACTTTGCTGGGGAGCGTCTCGGGGAGATAGAGATATAGGTATATCGTCTCCGTCACGATCAAGAACAGCGAGAACCCGGCAGCTGTCGCAAAAGGGTTGGCGACCACGGTACTAATCGTGCTAAGCCAGGCGCCCAGAGCCGGCCCAAATGTAAAGCTTATACTGAAGCATATCCCCACGAGCGCCATTGTCGCGCCTCTCTGCTTCTCGTCCGACACGTCAGTCGCCATAGCGATAGCGAGCTGGACGTTTCCTTCCGACAGCCCGCCCACGACGCGGGAGAGGAGGAATGTGCGGAAATCGGTGGCGCAGACCCAGAGGAGGACGCTTAGGATGTTGCCGACCATGCTGGTGAGGAGGGCTGTTCGGCGGCCGTATCTGTCGGAGAGGATCCCGATGATGGGGGAGGCAAGGGCTTGGAGAAGACTAGGTAGATAGATGTCAGATATTGTAGATTGTGGCATCTCTTCTAGATACTCACGAGAAGAGACTCCCCAGAGCCCCGCCAAGTAGCACAACGTCATATCTGGAATCGATGGGCCTTGCAAAAGAGGCTTTGTATGCGTTGAGATACTGAAGAATATGTGCGAGGAGGGTTCGAGGTTCGTCGGTAGAGGATATGGGCGCTTCTAGATTGCGATAGAACTCTAACAGTTTTGGGAATAAAGCTATATAGGTCGGGGATCAGTAATGCTTGGTTGCTGAAGGATTGGGAGGTCGTACGAAGGATGAAGGTAAAAGATAACTGATCAGGTTAGCTACTGACTTGACGGGAGTACGATCACAATGCTTAAGGGCTTGGAAGAGAAAAAACGTACAAGATCCAATAGGAGAGATATGAAGATAACCCTCAACACCTTCTTCCTCGTAGCAGGGTCAACAGGTGCTGCCATTGTGAGATTGTGGAGAGAGAGAGAGGGGTGTTCTGTCGCGCGGGTTCGAGCAAAACGAATTGAGCAAAGCTCTCAAATCGTGCGAAGTAAAAGAACGTTCAGAATCATGAATGAAGAAGACTCGGGTGGTCGAGTGTGTAGGGAGTTGGGGATGTAGGAGGTGAAGTCGCAGCGTGCAACTCGATCCGTATGACAATCGTTCGAACCCCTCGGTTGCCAAGCGAACGGAAGATCGTCCTCAGGGGTTCGACGGGTTCGATACCAAATACGGAAGAGCGCGGAGATCTGGAGTCCTGTTGATTCCAAGGCAATACTGGAAATCATGTATTTGAATCGATTATGTACCTATGTCCCCTTCCTCCCCGTCCTTTGATCTCATGAGAGAGTGGAGTGAGGGGTTGAAGATCTACGATTTATAGGAGAAGCAATGGAGAAAAGCATGAGGGTCATGACTGATATCTACTATCTACTCACTCATTCACATCACCGACTAGGCCATCTAACTATCTATACTTATCCGTTTGCTGGCCGCCCAATTCCCTTATCGAACTTTTTCCCTTCGCATTATTCGTCTCCCCAGGAGAAACATATTCCGCAACCCATATCACCCTTGAGAGAAGAGGAGTCTTGACTCGATATGAGAACGCCAGCAATGCATGCATCATTGCGCGCCTGGACCGCTCTGCTCCGCCTCGACACTATCTACTTGAACTCACGCTGCACCGTTTAAGACGGCGCCGGGCGCCTGGCCTTCAGCCACTGCGGCGGCGGCGGCGGCGGCGGCGAGAGCATCGGCTTGGTGGACTACGCCTTGGACAATGTTTTGCTCTTCCGGGTTGAGGTTTGTGGTGAGGGATTCGTAGAGTTGGGGTTGTTCTTGTTGGAGTTCTACGTTTTGTCAGCCAGACACAGCCAATGGAACCAACGGGAAACTTACTCAGGAGGGCATTTCGGAAGAGCTGGTAAGGTTCTATCTTGTCAAGCGGAGTCTCTAGGAGACTCTCCTCTCCCAACTCATCGTCCGAGTCGTCTTCCAGATTCTGGAATTTCTGAGCCTGGACAGTGTTAGCGCATGCACGAAGTCTCCAACCAATTTCAGATGCCATACTTCCTCATTCAAGAATTCGAGGTAGGCGCTACTCTCATCTTTACCATCTGCTTCGTCCTCGCCCTCAGCCTCCTCAGTCCAGGCGGTATCATCCCCTCCCCATGCATCATCATCATCTTCATCGTCATCGTATGCAGAGCCCTCTAGTGGGAAATCATCTTTCAGGGCTTCTTCGCGATCTGGAGGAGATGTGAGCAAAGCTATTAGCAGTTGGCAGTTCAGACTTACTCTTTAAAGCAGCTGGGAGCGTTTGGAAAAGTCGAACAATGCCCTGCAGTGATGTTAGTATATATTTTAGGCATTGGTACGTCTTACTATATTACACACCTGCAAGAGTCTAGGCCATCCTTGCTGAACGCTGACTGGAACCTGGTCAGCATTAAGTGTGAGTAGCGCAACGATAGCAGCAATCGAAAGCTTTTTGTCGTGGACTCTGGTAAAGCTGTCGATACTCGAGAACCACCAGCTGAAGAATTTGTTGGTCCATCCGTTCGACTCAAGCACATGTAGACTCAGAACCTATTATGTGAGAGTTAGCTTTCGGAAACAGTAATGAGTTCAGCTGGGCACCCTACGGGATTGTAGTAGATGGCGTTGATCACCATCTCCATCAAATGGATCCGGTATGACTTAACCTTGATATCTGAGTTCGTGAGTGTTCGCATTGCCATCTCAACCTAGGACGAGTCAGCATCAGAACAAGGCAAAGAAGTAGGAGACATACAAAGGCCACTACGTATTGATCGGCATGGCCTCGGAGGCTGAGCATCATCCCTTCTGCCAGCTTGCAAGCGCAGATTCTGTCAACACCACCCACTTTCTCGTCCGTAAACATATCCTGGACCATGCTGAACATAGCCTCGAGATATGGGGGTGTGTTGATGAGGTGCTGACTCCCATATTGGACAAAATTGTCAAGCGCTGGGAGCATGTCTTCAAGATAAAGTTCAGCACCAGCCTTGAAGGTAGCGTGGATAAGCTCGAAGGCCTGCCACATGGTTGCAGAAATTGACTTGGCGGCAAAGGTGCAGCTGTCAATGATCTCAAAGACTTCGTTGTACAGATCTAATTTGGTTAGCGAAATTCCGTGATAATGATAAGCATCTTCTCCTACCGTAGAGCTTGTTTTCCAATGTCACTTTGATGACCGGCATCAATATAGATTCCATATGGAGAAGAACGTCGGGTGTGCTCTCCAATGTCAGGATCAGGGTACCGATTGTTTGCAAAACGCCCAGGGCGGTGATGCTCTTGTCATCCAAGTAATCACCGTAATCGTCATCATCCCGCTGCTCGTTCCTCTCCAGGAGTTCTCTGACAATCCGCAGATAGGTATCCCGTAGCTGCTCACTCAATGCCACAGCGAAGGGAGTTAGTTCCGCTGCAAAGACCTCAACAAAGTCTTCCATGACATTTGACAAAGCATCAACGTCGACTTCATTCGCAAGCTTAAGCAACTGTTGCATGATTTGGGGTATATTTTGTTGCATGTTCGTTCGAATAATGTCATGTCTGATGAGTGGTTGAAGTGCAAGCGCAGCCTCAACACGCACGGGCAGATCAGGATCTGCCATGCATTCCAGGATATTGCGGTAGATAATGAGAAGGTTATTGGGATCTTTGAAATCAAGTTGCTCAAATTTCTCCACCGTATCGCAAGCGCGGGCTCGTAAAAATCCCTGCGAGCTGCGGAAGTCGGGGAAGACGTATCGTACCAGGAAGTATTCAACTTGCTCAGCAATCGGACTCTTCTTTCCAAGGATGACGCTGGACAATGTCCCAATCATACGCAATGCGCCCTCTTTCGCGATGTGATTCTTCTTGGACTCCTCAGCCGTCTCGTACTCGTTGACGATTGTGTTAACAAAGGTCAGGATAGTAAAGGTATACTTTCTTCGAACTTTGGTCAAGGTGACCAGAAGGTTCGTTGCAGCAACATCGGGCGCAGAGACCTCTTCATAGAAATTGAGCTTATGATGAAGATATTCCTCGGGATCGGAGTCGAATTTCTCGACATCTTCCTGCGACAAGCACATGACGGGGAAAAGGAAGTGGGTGACGAGGGTATCCAGGTGAGGTTTGAGATGAGCCCACATTTGCTTGGGCCGTACACACTCGTCTAGAAAGACAAGAGTATATGATAGACAAGGCCGGCTGAGCCATGTGGTCTTGGCCACCCACTTTTCGATCTGCTGCAGGTAACCCTTCAGGATCTCTGGAGCAAAATTGGTAATGAAATTCTTTGCGAATTCTGCATAGTCCTCCCCTTGTCCTTTCTGTAGAGATGTTGGATTGCCGTAGCTGTAGGGGTTATTAGCTAGAGCCCCGAAAAGGGGGCGGGGTATGGCTTACCGAACAAATAGGCGGTTCAGGTTGAAATATGACCACTTCTTCGCTTTCCACCAGTGGTTTGCCTCACGGTCTGTCAAGTCCTCTGGCAGGGCAGTAGCAGGGACTTCCTTTGCAACAGTATGCAAAAACAAGGAGCACCACCCGACGACGTGCTGCTGCTCTCTTAAGGAGACTGCTAAGTCAAACTACAACTTGTCAGCATCCCTTGTATCCCGGCGAGGAAAACCCCTAAGACGTACGAATGTCGCATGCTTGTATGCCTTCAACACAATATGGAGCATCTCTCCAGCCTCCTCACTCATTTCGTTCACCAGCCCTTGTCCGATTTCCAGAAGACGTGGGAAGGTTGCCTCAACTATCTTGTCGAAATCGGCTCGGTTGTCTGTTGACTTGAAGCGGTAAACGCGACAAATAGCCAGAAGGCACTGGAGACCAGCGAAAATGGAGGAGGCATCGTTGGTCCCGAGCAGCTGGACGGTGATGTTGATGAAGGCGGGCCACTTCTCAGGGAAGTCATAGTGGAGGATCTTTTGGAGGACCGGGACCAGTTGTTGTCGGATCGGTGGGGTGGAAGATGAGAGGACAGGGAGCAAGCGTTCGCGGAATCTCTGCTTCTCGTCCTCAGGTATGGCCTTGTTCTGTGGGCTCTCCTCGCTGGGTGACCAGCCTCTGACGACACGGTTCTTGAGGTAGACAACCGCTGCAGTCTTGCGTTAGCATCGGCCAGGGGCTAGGAGGAGGGGTACGGGTTTGCATACTCGACATGCGAACGGGGGCCTCCTGCTCTGCTTGCAAGATATCAAGGAGGGCATCAGTGAAACCAGGATGTTCCTCAGCCTGCGGAGAGAGAATTAGGGGACGGCCCTGACAACTTTGTCGCTGGAGCGGCTTACCGTCTTCAGATCCAGCTCAGCCCTCCGTCGAGCGTCTGCATCTGGGTTGAGCGTCGCGACAATACGACCGCGTAGGACCGCGGGTTCCATGACTAGTAGAGATGCGCCGCGTGTATCTCAGAGTTGGGGAGACAACGATAATTGTGAAAGAAGGGCTTCGTCGAGGCGGGGATCGTCGAAGGGTGTTGACCAGGGACTACTTTTTGTGGTCGGGGAGTTCGCTAACAGATTTTCTGCCTTAATAACGCTGGAGGCGGTCTGAACTCTGGGAGGGATCGCTCTAGGGTATGGGATCCGATCTTCAATTCACCTTGTGTGTGTGTGTGTGCGCACAGTGGTTTGTTTGTTGCTATCACTTCACTGTAGAGGAGAGGCTAAAGTGGGATGATCGACAACCTCATCTCTCTTTGCTTCCAGGTTTTGTCTTTTTTCTCCGTGTTTCTTTGTTCTCGTCTTTTTGCAGCCGTGGATGGCACATCATTCCGTGGGCTGGATGCATGGTTGAGGTACCTTGGGCAAGAATTGGATAAAACGACAAATGGAATAATCTTCTCCAGGCGGGGGATAATGCAAGACGATACTGGTTCTGCGCCACAGAAGAGAGGGAGAGAGAGGGATCCTCCTATTCATTCTACGATACTGCGAGACGATAACTAAGGTAAGGTAACGCGTGGGTCATGACAGAGCCGATTGAAGCCAACCTTGACCATACATGGAGTTAGGGCTAAAGTGCCTCTGCCTCTTGTCCGGTAAGGGTCTATCGCATTGACCCTTATCGAAGTTGATACCGAGCATCAACATCAGCATGATAGGTAGGCCAACATTGTGCTGTGTCCTGGATGGATCAAGGGATAAGGCGGAGCGGTGTCAGGGACGTCACGTGACTATAGCCGCCTCTATAACCTCGGTAGCTTGCCTACAGCTACTGAATAAGCCTGGGAATGAGGGAACACTCATAACTTTGACAAATTGACCTTTGATATCCTTGACCTACGTTATATAAAAGTAAAAGTAACCGTATAGCTGCCGTCTTACAACTGTACCTTACCTAAGCATCATGCCTGAGGCCCTGATACTTTAGGTACTACCACGGAAGAACTCTGTCCCGCGTGCCTTACCGAAATGACCTAACCGGATAGGGTACATTAACCGTATGCGGTATAGCTCCAATTGGGGAGGCCCGGCTGTACCTTCCTCAATGGGACATCGGCGATCCTTGGAGCTCCCCCTCCGACAGCCATTCTTATCACACATTCGCGAATCACCACACTCAGCACGCCGGCCGTGAGGGACGGTAGGCTGGACGAGACAATAAATAAGTACGAGGTCTTCTCCTTCTTCTTCTTCTTCTTCTTCCTCTTTTTCCTCTTTACTTAAACTTGGAACTATCCCCCCACAGTTCCAAACTTCCATTGCTATCTATTTGTCTGTTCATACCTACCTACCTACATCTTCTATATACCCCTCCCCCTCACGAGCATGTCCGCAGGCCAATCGAGAACAGGAACAGGACCTGGTGGGTTACCCGTTCCACATCCCCTCGAGCAGCTCTCCGTCGCCGAGTCCGATGTGGCTCGTCAGGTTATCCTGGATGCTCGCGGTGCCGGTGTTGCCCTGGCCTTTCGATCGATAGCTCTCCAAGAGCCGGCAAAGAGCGAGCTTTGTGCCTTTCTCGAGCTCGAACATGCTGGCAAGCTCACGGCACAGACACCTCGCCCCGCGCGATTAGCAAAAGTATCATACGATATCGTGCGGGGTGATAGGACTCATGAATATACCGAGTCTTTGGTGGATGTCGTTTCAAGAAAGGAGGTTCAACAACGCGTGGTTGACAAGGCTCATCAACCCGCCTTGACGACGTAAGTCAAGTCCTAGTTGGTTCAGTATCGATTTGCCATACTTACTGGGATGGTAACTGCAGTACCGAATTCGCTGAATTCACGGAAGCTTGCTTTGCGTCGCCACTTTACAAAGAGGCCATCGCCGAGTTTGATCTCCCCGAAGGATTCGTTGTCACTATTGATCCGTGGCCTTATGGTGGGGATGATGAGGTTACGCCTCGGTACACACAAGGTCTCTGCTTCGCACGAGATACCCGCTCGGGAAACGAGGATTCAAACCACTATGGCTACCCACTTCCTATCATCCCAGTCCTGGATACATACAGTAAGGAGATTGTGCGGGTTGATAAACTGGCCACAGGCGGGACCGAGGATGGGTTAACGTACGGGACACATACGAAGAAGGTCCTCGAGCACTGCGCTCCTTCTGAGTATGTACCCGAGCTTCTTTCTCAGCCACTGCGCACCGATATCAAACCATTGAATGTCATACAACCGGAAGGGCCATCCTTTCAGGTCAGCGACAATTTGATCGAGTGGCAAAAATGGAGATTCCGGCTGGGCTTCAATCCTCGCGAGGGCGCCACACTTCATGACATTCGATATGATGGGCGGAGTGTCCTGTATAGACTGAGTCTGAGTGAGATGACAGTGCCATATGGCGATCCAAGACCCCCATTTCATCGCAAGCAAGCCTTTGATTTCGGTGATGCTGGTGCAGGGCGTGCAGCCAATAACCTGTCCCTTGGTTGTGATTGTCTTGGGGTGATCAAATACTTCGATGCCGTATTGACGGAGTCTGATGGAACGGCCAGCGTTAGCAGAAACGTCGTTTGTTTACATGAACAGGATAATGGGATCGGCTGGAAGCACACGAATTTCAGGACCCAGAGAGCGGTTGTAAGCCGCTCTCGCGAGCTTGTGGTTCAATTTATCATTACACTTGCTAATTATGAGTACCTCTTTGCGTACAAATTTGACCAGGCTGGGGGGATTACCATCGAGACGCGAGCTACAGGAATTGTCAGTGTGGTCAACATTGACCCCGGGAAAACGAGCCCTTGGGGCAATGTTGTGTCTGGGGGTGCTTTGGCTCAAAACCACCAGCACTTATTCTGTATCCGGATCGATCCTGCGATTGATGGACACGCCAACACAATTTTTAAAGAGGAGTCGCTCCCAATGCCTATATCTAAAGAGCTTAATCCATACGGCAATGGATACGAGGTAATTCGATATTTCAGTTGTCACCAAACACTGAGCAGAGCCTGACTGACTGGTGCTTCTATCAATAGGTCAGGCGGACACCTGTTCGGAAATCACAATTCTTCGATGCTTCACCGATGACAAACCTTACAGTGAAAATGACAAATCCGTCCAAGTTGAATCCTATTTCTGGCCGACCTGTTTCCTATAAGTTTATCCCTGCTGCGTCACAGCTCCTCCTAGCACACCCGGACAGTGTAGTGGCTAAAAGAGCTCAATTTGCACAGCATCATGTATGGGTTACAAAGTATAAAGAGGGCGAGCTATGGGCAGGCGGAGAATTCACCAATCAAAGCAAGAAGGAAGTGGATGGTGTAGCAGACGCGGTGGCGAGAAATGATGATGTTGAGAACGAGGACGTTGTTGTTTGGCACACGTTTGGCCTCACTGTGAGTAGACAATACCCAGGAAATGGTAGGCAGAGAGGCTGACACCAAGATTCTAAGCACAACCCAAGAGTTGAGGACTGGCCCGTCATGTAAGATCCCATTCCACTGATCACTTTCCTTGGAACATATATACTTATGGAGTCTATAGGCCTGTTGAGATACATCAGATCCACCTCCGCCCAGCAGATTTCTTTACTGCCAATCCCGCCATTGACGTTCCCGGCACAAAGAATCATACTTCTGTCCTGGCACCGGGATCACAATCATGTTGTGGAAGCGGTGATGTCCAACGATCTCCTGCATCTCATATGCAAGGGACTGGTCCAGATTTGGACCCGAAGAGCAAGTTGTGAGCTCTGCTACCACTAGCGTTGAAAATAGAAGCAAATGATGAATATGACTTGGAATGATATTACTTAGAGGGCTGTCTTCTTGTTGCTAGATACCTTGGTCAATGCACATCCAATTGGTGGTACCTTCCAAGGCGCACTTCGAGACACAGTATATAGAGGTCAAAAATGCGAGCAGGGTTATCGAAGACAGCATCGCCCAGCTATTCCTGTTCATTTTTTCAGATACTTCGTCCGATCTACCATCTCATTAACGCCAAGTGCTCTTACCGAATTCTCTGCATTTTTCTTACTCGGCCACTCTCTGTCAGTATAACCAGTAGAACATCGATCAGAGAAACGCTTTTAGATTAAATACCTATACTATTAGGAACTACCTCGTATGGGCAAGTAAATATGTACCTAGTTTTTTGGTTCAGATTTGGGCTTGGAGTTCGAGGATTTTAAATCGTATTCAATTTTATTTTATTATTTTATCTTACACTACCCCTCTTCCTCCTCCTCATCACTAACCTCCTCTCCGGCCTCTATAGCTTTCTGCCGTCTCTTAGCAGCCCTCTCCCTCTTCCTATCCAGCAGCTTCTTCAAGTTCTTCGCCACATTAAACACGCCTCCCGTACCCGCTCCACACGCCGCACAACTAGGATCTTTCCTGTATCTCTTCAAGGCGCAATCCAGACAGAAGTAATGCCCGCACTTGGTGACGATCGGATCCTTATATTTCTCCCTGCAGATAATGCACGCAAAGGGAATACCTTCGAGCATCGCTTCCTCATCACCTGAGTCGTCTTCTTCTCCTTCCCCGCCCCCAGTTTTACGATTCGCACTCGCTACCGTCGTGCCGCCCGTCACTTTCTTTCCCTTCGTAACGTTCTCCCACTCGCGATCAAGCTGCCAGCCCTGCTTATAGTCCTCGCGCGCATGAAGAAATTTGCAATTGTCTCCAAAGCCGCAGAATCCCGTCTGTTTGTAGTCCTTGCACACGTCCGGCGCGAAGTCCGTCACTGTGATGGTGCGGATGTTGGTCGGTGCCTTGACCGGGCCGACTACGCGCGTCGGCGCGTCGGGGTTCTTCTGGATGAAGTTTGTGGTGTTTGCGAGGCCCTTGTATGTCCCATCGGGAGCGGGAGCGCTGCGCGTTGTCCCGAGAAGGTTCTTGTGGGAGAGGGCATCGTCGGCGTGCTCGTCGTACCAGTTACTGTGCTTGGTGGCGTCATTGACGCTCTTGATGGTGGTGTTGTGGGCGGCTTCGTATTTGGTCGCGAACAGGTCAGCGCTGGAGGAAGAGGCCGCGGTCGATTTGGTCGAGGCTGTGATGACGCCGCTGGTGTTCTTCTTGCGCCGTTTGATGCGCTGCCCGGATTCGTCGGCGGAGGAGGAGAAGTCAGAGTCGCTGTCCGAGGCTGGGGGGGGAGTGGCGGCTCGTTTGCGGAAGTTGGATTTCCCTTTCGCAGAGCGCTTTTTGAAGACGGCGACAGGCTCTGTGGCTGTGGCTGGCTGTGGGGATTCTGTGGTATCTGTGGTATCCATGTTGGAAATGGAAGTGTGGAAGATGTGGAATTTAGGTTGATTGCGGGGGGGCGGAAGTCCGTGGAGAGGAGCGATCCAGATGTAAGGTACTCGAGGCTGACTTCACTCCGCATTAGGTAAGGCGGCTGTGCGGCTCAACCGCATTTGTAAGCCTGAGGCAGAAAGGCAGAGAATGCGGGCGAACCTCATATGAATACCTCAGGCACCTAAGGCACACAAGTTGCTCGTCGCTGCTCATGTCTCGCATCTCCAAACGCCCGGCAATCAATAGAGCCTGAGCAAAGGCCAATAATGCGAACTCCTCTGAATCGTGGCGCCCTTCATTGTCTGCATGCGCTACGTCAAGGAGAAGGATCCAGCCCAGTCAAGCTGACAGGTCCCAGACTTCGTGAATCGTGAGCCCCATCCACGCGTTCACGCTCCAATATCAAACGAATCTCGACCACACTCCACCACCTCCACCACGGCCACCAGTCCACCCGCCGTCCACGCCGTCCACTTCTCACTTCTCCCATAGGGCCAAGCAATTCCTGTGGCCTGAGGCCTGAATCCCACCCGAGTTTTAGACGACGCCCGCTTTACCGTTTTGGTTCGCATCTGGATCAACTGGATCTGCAGGACGCCGCACGACATTTATTCCTGAGCCACCTCCACCTTCTCACCACCCTCTCTTTATCCTCGTTCTCTTCCTCTCCTTGTCCTCCTGTCTTGTCCCTGCTTGCTGGTCCCTGGGACAGACCAGTCAAGGGTCGCACGCCCACTTCCTGTGCATCCTGTAATCATAACAAAGGCGATAACACGCTCCTCGGCAAAAAGAAACGCGCCCCTTCATCTGTATCAACAACTGAACCAGCCCAACCCAGGCTCACGACCGCGTTCCACAAACAAACGGGAACACTTGTACCACACGTACGGCAGTACAAAGTCATACTACGGCAGTCACCAGATATTCAAAGGTGGGCCGATTCTCGCGCAACCCTGCGCCCATAAGTGTCTTCCTGTAATCGGTTGAGGATCAGGAGCCAGGACATACGGAACAAGAAAGGAGAGAGGGGGAGAGAGCAGGACGAAGACGCAATTCCAGAGCGGATAGTTCTGTGAGATAGCAGTTGTTGGACGAGCAACTGCGTCTGCGGCGTCGGCCTACCAAGATGTCGACTTCGTTGGCGGCAGACCATCCATCCCTGGCCTCGCAGGCAGACCAGACGTCCGCTGAGAACGCTGATCAGGACCCGTTCCTGTCCTCATCGACGAGCTCTAGCCATCACCGGTTCTCTCATTTTGACAATCAATTATTCGCTCTCGGCCCTACGTCGTCTCCAGAACAAGCAAAGCGGGCTTTGGAAGCTCATCTCGCTGAGACAGAACGACGTATACAAGAAGCTTCGAGGCTCGGCACAACCCTTGTACAGCAACGCAAGGATCTTGCGGAACGCCTGAAAGACGTCGAGAAGCAACAGATCGAGGGCGAGATTCCTCCGGAACTACGACAGAAACTGGTGGAAATTGAAAAGGAGTACAATGAGGTTGGACGCGAGAGTGCTAGGGCTTTCCTACCCAAGCCTCGGGTCGCGAGCGGTGAGATGGGCGGATCGCCATTTACCGGTGATGCGAAGGTAATTTGGCGATCAGTGGTTTCTTATTTTTACTAACATGCTACAGTCTACTGCCAGCCCTTCCAAATTTGAGAGCCAGGCCACCAGCTCCCCATCTAAACTCAGCGTGCCTACGAGAAAACAGCGGAACCAGCCCTCGAGTCGTGTGCACGATATTGAGTTTGCCACAGAGATCAGCACTTCACTCCTGTCGCAAGTTCGACATCTTCAGGCCCTGCTAGCGGAGAAGGAAGAAGCATTGAAGACCGTCACCCACGAGAAATCAAGGCTTGAAATCGAAGCAGAGGGGTTCAATGAGCGGTTGAGGAGCTTGGATGAGAGTGAGCATAGGTACAAAGACGAGAACTGGAATCTGGAGACTCAAATCCACGAACTTCTGGCTGCAGCAAAGGAGGCGGCAGACAGGGAGAAGAAACTGACCCATAGTCTCCACATTGCGCAAGCCGAGAAGAGCTCCACCCAGAAAGAACTCGACGAGATCAAGTTGAACCATGCCAAACTCACCGAGGATCATACTGCAGCTCTCAAGCATTACGAGGTTGAGTTGGGAAGCGTGAAACGGAATATGAACATGGTCGAGAATGAACGGGTAACCTTACAACGCAAGATTGAGGATTTGACAGGCCAGAACCAGGAGCTAGCCAAGGCTGTCGCGCACCAACGCAACCGACTACTAGAAGACCGAACCCAAGCACGAGGCCTCAGTGATGATGATTTCGAGACCGCTGCGGATAATGCCACTCCTGAGCATTCGCCACCTCCTTCGCCAATCAAGAATACCCCGAGACACAACATGCTGGAATCTGAGACTCTGAGGAGTTCCTTGCAACACGCTCATCGAATGATCCAGAGTCTAAAGGGCAATATTCATCGTGAGAAAACGGAAAAACTAGAACTGAAGCGGATGCTTCAAGATGCAAGAGATGAATTAGAGCTTCGCCGAAGCGACAGTGGCTTGGTGCCTGGGAGTGCTAAGAGGAGCCGCAAGACGGATTCCAAGGAGTTCAAGAAACCCCTCAGACCAGGCCAACTTGGTGGGATCAGAAGCAGTAGAAGCGAAATCGTGATCGATGATGATACCAATTGGGAAGAAGATGACGGAGAAAGTAGCTCATCACCCTCTACATCAACCGCCAAGGCTCAAGGAGCTGTTGGAGCTGCTGCAGGTGGAGCTCCAGCCTCAGAAATCGCCGATTCCAGTGATAACTTTGACACCGCTAACGAGGGGACTGATGCCTTCGAAACGGCAAACGAACGTGGTACGGAGACTGAAGATTTCCAGACCGGCCACGAGGACATGAGCGACAACGACGAGCTTACTGAGACCGAGACTGGCGCTGGTGGCACTATCCGTAGGAAGACTGCGCCCCTTGGGTTGACCAAACGAGGAAATCGGAGATCGTTCCAGAGTACCGCATCAACGTCAGGTGATGAATTTAGCTACGAAGATGCGAAGACACCAACGGCTCAACCGCAGCGGCTCCGGCTCAGAGTTAGTCGTGGTGGCAACCGGCGATCAAGAGGACCAAGTGAGGAACCACAGTTCCACAGTAGCCCTCCAAGTTTCGCAAGTAGTAGTAATGGCGGGACACCTCAAGCTGGACAGAGCCTATTCGCAGAGCTTGGTGATCTGGAAGGTAGCGATGATGAGTCTATACAAGGGACCCCAAGTCGCCGCTCGTTCGTGTCACGATCCTCGGCTTCAACCTCGAGACCTGGTACTGCGAGGGGCATCCTCGCACCTCAGACTCCACCCCCGGTACCAAAATTGCCAAAATTACTAATGGTCGATACTGGGATGATGACTGAGCCGTGGGAACCCGCGCCAGCAACCCCTCAGAGTGCTGTACCCGTTGTCGCAGAAGTCGGCATTGCTGGTGTATCTATCGCCGAGGAGGCACGCTTAATGAGTAACAAGCACGCATCGACGGGCTCTCAAATCCGAGTGTCGATGTCTGACGCGGGCAGCCAATGGCAGGATGAACAGTTCAACAACTTTCTCAATGTCAATAGCCAAGGCACCAGACCCATGTCGACATCAACCTATACGTCAACATATACTGATAGGAGCTCGCAGTATGATCCTCTGGTGATGGATGAAAAGCTTGCCAAATTCCCCTTTCCACCAGACTCCAGAGCGCACACGCCGATGGCAGATCTTGCCGCTTTCGGGACTGCTGAACCTGCCGCATCTCCAGCGCCTCTAGCACCTCTATTATCCATGTCCAACATCGTGTCAGAGCATGTCGAACCAATAGAGCCTGAGCCTGAGTCGCCCGTCGTTGTTCCTGAGACCACTGAACAAGATGCACCGAGCATACCGGAAGAGGTTGCCCCAGTACTTGCACCACTGGCCTTCTCAACTATTCAATCGATCCACACCACGCCTATTTCACCTCGAAGCCCAAGAAGAGATGGCGTTATGATTCCGAGAGACGAATCTGATGAAGTGGACCTTGCAGAAGATGAGCCCCAAACCCCTCAGTCTTCCGTTTTTGGGTCTGTCTCTCCCAGGAGCAAGGGCAAACGCCCCGCAACCCCAGTCATTGCCGAAGACGACACACGGCAATCACTCAATGGCTCTCCAGCCCCGGAAACTCCAGAATCCCAGCGACCGTTCAAAGAGCTCTCTAGCAATACTAATGAGCGAGTTGTGAAAATGCCCCTCTTCGAAATGAGCGACGAAGGCGCGCAGACAACGCTAACCTCCGAGCAAATTGACGATCTGCTTCAGAGCAAGAGACGAGATACGATTCTCGCTGAAGACAGCCATAGGTTAGATGCCTGGTCGCCGCCGCGGGGTACAGCTATCATTCCCGCTGGTCTCAGAGTTCGCAAGTCACAAGAAAGCGTCGGCAGCGTTGGTCGTTCCAGAACTAAGATGGTTGATACCAGCTCCGCCAACGATACATCTCCTGTCAAAAGACCCTCTAGCTCTAGGAATGGGTCAGTATCAAGCGTGCATCCGCCATTACCCACTGATCACAAGCAAGTTATTGCAGCAGCAGCTCAACGCACTGGCTCCTCGAATGGCGGAGCAGGGTCTATGGGACCTCCCTTGTTACCGGCCTCTGCTGTAAGAGCCAACCCATCTTTCAGACCTAGGACGCCAAACTCTCAGCCCATCAATCTTGAGAGAGGTGGAACGACTCCGAGAGCTGTGCAATCTAGCCGTTCGGAGGCCCACTCACCGACTGGGACTGGAAGATCCCGACAGTCGTCTGTCTCGTCATTTGTATCCGAGCTCGACGCTCGCTTTAATATGCGGCCAGGCGCGATGCCAACTGGCATTCAGCCTGGCACAGACCCGCGAATGATAAATGCTATTACCCAGACGATGATTGGGGAATATCTCTGGAAATACACCCGTAAGGCTGGTCGGGGAACCATGTCAGAAAATCGACACCGTCGTTACTTCTGGGTTCATCCATACACCAGAACTTTGTATTGGAGTGACCATGATCCCTCACAAGCTGGTCGGTCAGAGCTGAAGGCAAAGAGTGTGCCCATTGAAGCCGTCCGAGTTGTAACAGATGACAACCCAATGCCTCCCGGTTTGCATCGCAAGAGCTTGGTTATCATGACCCCTGGCAGAGATGTCAAGTTTACTGCAACCACCGGTCAACGCCACGAGACGTGGTTCAATGCATTGTCCTACTTGCTTCTACGAACTGGAGATGAATCAGCCAGCGACACTGCAGAGGTTGTCCAGGGTCTCACCCGGGACGATGTTGACGAATTCAATCCTGGATTCGGCAACAGCAACAACAATAATACCCGTAGAGGCCCAACATCTTTATCTTCCTACAATAGCCGGACAACTCGCAATGAGTCCCCTGCTGGCCACAAATCAGCTCGAGCATCTGTACACCCTGGACAGGCCTCGACATCTTCCCGCCCAGCGGCAGGTACCCTTTCTCGGCTGAGTAATTACTGGAAGGGTGGCAATGGACAAATAGGCAGTTACTCTAGTCGGAAAGGCAGGCCAGGGGCTGCTGCAGCAGGGAGCATTTATGAAGCCAGCGAGGTGGACGACAGCGCCGAGGACTTGAGAAAGATTATCGAGAGGCAGGATCGGGAGTCCGACAGGCTCGAGGATGTCAGAGCATGTTGTGATGGTAGGCTTCGTCTCTTCCAGACTTAAATCTTTTCTAACCCTGGACAGGCAAACACCATGTTGGACACTTACACTCACATTCCACAAAGGGACGTCATTCCCATTCCCTGAGACCTGCTGCGTCGGGATCGCGGAATTCAACACAACCGAGGCAAGCAGGCCGCAATAGCATAATGAGGCGAACAGATTGAAATCTGTCTTAATACAGTGCCTTTCCGGCGTTTTCTTTACGAATTTTACGTCTTTCCTTGATTTTGAAGCACCGCAACCTACGGGAAGCTTTTATGACCAGACGGCCAACACATCGATCACGCATGATCTTTTCCTCTGTCTAAAATTTTCTTTACGTCTCTCTTTTGAGTAATGACCCGCACGGGCGTGGGGAAGGAGAAGAATGCATGTTGAGCATGAATGGCTGGCTGCACTATAATACCTTGTCTGTAAGAGTGTATTTGCGTTGGTGGAGTGAGTATCTTGGGGGAGATTCACGGGTGCTGTTGATGCAGCAGACCTGGTTCCAGATATCCAAACCTGCGGTTCTAGGATTTCCGCCTTTCATTTGGCGTGTATTATGGCTGTAGTGTACATGCTTATTATATGCGCGCGGAGAAATTGATGGTACCGTACCTACCTAGCCAAGCATAGACTGTAATGCAGCTGAGATTTCATTGTGGACTTCGATCGAGGATAGTAGACCATTTCTATGTACCTCAGCCTTGATTCCTCATGTGTTGATCTGGATGGATGAGAACAGGGGCTTATGCATGGCGTGAATAGCATCCTGACTCCTTCCTGGCCCTTATAGCCAAAGAAGCAGCGCGTAAGAAGAGTGAAAATAGGGGTCCGTAGATTGAAGATGCTTCTGATAATGATCAACGTCGTTACGGACGTACAGTATCAAGTCGGGTTTTGGAGGGGCCGGATAAACTTCGTCTCCGAGCCGAAGAGGCGGGAGCCATGCCCAAGACGGCTAGCCCATATCTGTCCTTCGACCTCGACTGCACAGCACAGATATCTACACAGAAACCCTTCTTTTCGAGACTTCAAATCCTCCTCGCGACTTCGCATGGGCCTATGATACCGGCTTTCCACACCTTCAAGCTCGTCCCAATGGCACCGACACCTAATCGTCAAGCAGCACCAATCTTACCCCCCTCCACGCCTGCGAACTCGCGTCCCCAGTCACAGCAAACCGTGAATAGCCAACAGCGCGACCACCAAAACTCCACGCCTACTTCGGAAAACAGAATGAACCCGCCGCCTATTCCACGCTCCCTCATGACGCCGGCACGCGAGATGCGCGAAAGCTCAGTTGCGTCGACCGCCACTGGAAGCGCGCGCAAACCGCGCCAGAATCTCGAGGAGCGCGATCACGTCCTGATGGTGAAGCATTGCTATGAACAGCGCCACAACTACAAGGAGGGCACCAAGGCGCAATTCTGGGCCGGCGTCAACGCCGCCTTCCAACAGGACACGGGGAAAGTGCTTGCGCAGATGAGCGCGACGGTCGCGAGATTGGTGGAGGCGAGGAGACGGCAGATAGCAGACTGGGAGAACGGGGTAATTCCACAGAAGCCGGGCGGGGAGCTGAACGATCACCTGGATCAGTGGATGGAGTTCTTGAGGACGGAGGATGGCGAGGCGGAGGCGGAGCGCATGAGACAGGTGGATGCGAGGAGGCGGGTGGAAGAAGCGAGGAAGGAGGCCAGGCGAGCTGCTCTCGCGGCGGAGACGCTGGTGAGCGCTCAGAATCCGGGCGCGAGGCCAGGGGCAGCACCGCAGGCGCCTGTCGCGGATATGGGACAGCAACCACCGCAGGAGGGCGGGGAACTGGTGCCGGCTAATGGGCAGGTTGACATGAACGGCTATAACCCGCGCAAACGGAAGCGTCAGAACGAACGCCAGCTGAACCGCGAGTTGCAAGCCCAGATCCAGCAGCAGCAAGAGGCCTCATGGGCGTATACACAACAGCACCCACCTGAGCCACCCCGGAGGGTAGTGGTCGAGGGCGCACTAACGAAAGAGGACTGGATGGAGATCATGGGCAGCGATGCGCGACTGCGGGCGCTCGAGAACAAGGTCGACAAGATCGAGCTCATCTGCTCTCAGAACAACAAGCTGCTGCTGCAACTGCTGCAGAACCAGAACAAGGATCGCAATGAGGAGGAGAGAGTGCCGGTTCATCTCGACGCAGAGTTTGAGAGGGATTACCTGTGAGCCTGAAACGTAGCGATATCCTCGAGTCTAGTACTGAAGATTGCTTGAGGTCGGGACGATATTCGAAGACACCGCTGCCCATCCCCTGAAAAACTGGTCGCTCTCAGCACCGACCAGTTCGAAAGTTTGACGACCCAAAAAAGAATCATTTCTCGGTTTTTTACGATTCACGAACGAAATTTCCCACCATCCCGCCCCTTGAGGCTGGCGCGGCACCGAACTTGCTTCCGTTTTTCTCCCTTACTTATGTATACCGACGCTACATATCAATCCGTTCTTCTCCGATCGATAATATCGCTGGTCATCAGTAGTAGAGTTCCATCTCTAATTACAGTGAGTTCCCGCCCCCGCCCCCTCTTAATAACCCCACCTAACTCAAAACCTCTAGGCAGTACCTACCAAAGCTGCTCCTCATCTTCCTTCTTCTTTCTTCTCCCAAGTCTTCTTTCTTGTCTTCCAATTCTTCGGTGTGTGGGGTAGGGAGGGGAGGTGCCATCAAACGTTCCGGAAAACACCACACCAGACGTATATCTCAGGACCTCAAGGCGTACGTTTTTTACAGGGAAATTAAGGGAAAAGGGGATCTATCTTTTCACGGCTGGGTTGATCAGTGTATCATATTTGTGTTTGGTGCGCAGCTTGCTTGCTTGCTCTTGTTTCTTGTTTCTTTGTTTGCATCTCTCCTTTTCTTCTAAATACCCATGCATACCTTTTTTTTTTTGCCCCCTCTTCCTTATTGTTTTTGAGAGAGAGAGAGGTTCTACGTTCTACGTTCTATAACAAACAAACAGACAAACAGACAAAATCACGACAGGCTTTTTAGCTTCTTTCTTGCCCTCATGAGAAGACTACTCTGCCTTCCTAACCCCCCCCCCTCCCTTCCTTCCCTTTGCTAGGTATTCTTATAGATATCCATCTGATCGGTAAGATAAGGTAAGGTAAGGTGGGTAAGTATCGATTGATATACCCCTATTCCCAACCAACCCCAATAAGAAAATTCTCCATATCGTACCTAAATGCCCGCGTCACATATTCCAATCTACGTGGTAAATATAAAGATAAAATAAAAAAAAGGAACTTTTTATATGAAACTTCATCATCTCAAATCGATCGATCGATTGATATCTATATCTTATCGTCTGTCTTATCTTCGTCCATCAAGCCATACATAACTCTCTGAGGATCATCCATCCATCCATCCATCCATCCATGATCCATCCATCCATACCTTCCTTCCTTCCTTCCTTTATTCATTCATGAGATAGGTATAATATCATACCTACTTACTAGTACTACATTGCACTGCACTGTATTCATTCTCCCCTAGCACCTCTCTCCCCCTCCTTTATCACACCGTATCATATCAAAAACAAAACAAAACAAAATCTCAAACCCCGAAAGCCCTTCCTTCCTGCTTGCTTGCTTGCCCATTATTCTTGTATCTCGCTCGCTCGCTCGCTCGCTCGCTCGCTCGTGCAAAAGGAAGAAGAAGATGTGGTATATTAGAAAGGGCAATGCCGAGAGCAGACGTGCAGTCAGTCAAGTCTCAGCAGCTCTAAACGCCAGTCCGCTCGCTAGCGATTGTAGTGGTAGTCCTTTGTTTGTGAGATATATGTATGGAAGCTTGCTGGTTTTTGTACCTGTATTCATTACTGCCCTACTCCCCCCCTGACGATCAGCGAAGTTATCGATCCTTATATCCGCACCATTCACAACGCTACCCCGTCGTGAGACTTGGGTCATGAAGCCTGGCCGTCGGTGATGCCCAGACCCTCATGCTCCATATCCTCCTTGATACTGACACGAGGGCCGGGAGGGCTGGGGTTGGAGCCAATGCTGACCCTGTTCTTTTTCTTTGCGGCACCTTTGGATTTTCCTTCTTTGGGCTCGTTTTCCGGCTTGTCTTGCGAGTAGTCTTTCCACTTCCGCCAGCCGTCGAAGTCGATCAGGGCTTGCATGCAACCCCATTCCATTACCTTGCGCTCGAGCCAAACGAAGTTGACTGGCTGTGTAGGGTGTCAGTTCCGATTCTAAGAATGGTGTAGTAGATGGGGATAGGAAACGAGGGCGTACCTTGGTCAAGAAATCATTGCAGCCCGCAGCCAACGCTTCGTGACGATCGGATTGCAAACTTGATGCTGTAAGAGCGACGATGATAACGGGGCTTTTGAAGAGCACGGTATTGGGTAATTTATCATCGCCTTCTGGCTTAACCTCTTCGGTCGCGGACGGCGTTGTGGAAGCGGTGCTTGAAAATACACCGATCGAATTCAATCTCTCTAACCGGCGGATCTCTTTCGTAGCTTCTAACCCACTCATAATAGGGAGTTGGATGTCCATAAGGACCAAGTGAAAGCCGCCTGCTCGCCACTTCGTCACCGCTTCCCGTCCATTCATGGCGGTCTGCCAGCGTACCTTGAGTCTCTTCATGAATGCTTCTAGAAGTTTGAGGTTGATGATGTTATCTTCGACGATCAGGACGTTGATTGGAGGGACGGCGCCATTGAGCATTCCAGCCGGTAATGGAGGATGGTCCGAACTTTGCTTCTTGATCTTCTTGGGGCGGCTTTGAGGACGTGGAGATGATATTCGGGGTGGAGGAGCGGCTGCTTCTTGAATTTGGGAGATCTCATTCTGCTGTTGGGGAGGGGGTGTCGGGATAGGTGCCGTAGGAGGAGCGGCGTTGGCTACTGATTTTTCTGAAGCACTGGAGTGAGTTCTAGAATGCGTATGCCGAAGAGGATACACTTGCATACCGTTATGGGGAGGGGGCTGGCCCTGGCCATTCAGGACCGTCGGAGAGGGCGTGTGCTGACGGCCCAGCCGTGGACGCTCTCGATGATGGGATCTCCTCAGGCTTCCTGGCGATGGGAGGCTGGGGACGTGGCCTGTCGATAGGACAGACATGGAATGTGAGGCTATTGGCAGATGGTGATTGCTTGCATGTCCAGATTGCCCAGAGGAGGGCATGGAGCCGGGGAGATGTGGTGAAGGCATCGAGGGGATCGGCATTGGAGGGAAGTAATCCGAACCTGCCTCTGCAGGACGGCGATCCTCGTCCATGTAATATCTGGGGAGCGGTTGGGGAGAATGCTTGGGCGTCCGTTTCACCGGGACATCGATCACCAAAGCCTCGTCCACCGTCTGTCCCCCAGGGAAGTATGCATCGAGAGTGCGGCCTATGGGCTCTTCCGGTCCTAGAATCCTCTCCTGCCGGTTCTCCCTGGGAGCAACTCTCAGCGTAACGTCGGGGGCGTCAAAGTTTCGTCCCAACGTGTTGGCATACTTCTTCAGGATCATGTCCCGGACATCGTCCACCAAGTCGCCCTCGTGTATAGTGACCAAGGTCGCCGACGCCCCAGGGCGCTTGACCCACATCTTCCTGCTCACCATATCCGCGCTGATGGTCGACGCAGCGTTGTCCGCAAAGTAATCGAAACCGTCTTCCTTCATTCAGCTTGGTAGGTAGGTAAGGTGATACTAATCAGCTCTTCTTAAATCCTACATTCCAAAAGGTAAATAAAAATAAGAGTTCCCTCATCTTCACTAATGAATCAATCAATCATCATTACCTACTTACCTACCTGACCTTCCTAGTACCAATTATATTGTACGGTATGTGATAATGTGATGTGAGGCATTAATGAATGAATGGGATTATCAAAATATAAAAATCTCCCTAACCCTCTTTCCCCTTTCTGTATATATACCCAACTAGCTTAACTACCTTAGCTGTCTCTCTCTCCCTCTGTCTCTCTCTCCCCGTCCCTTTCTCCCCGTCTCTCTCTCCCAGTCTCTCTCTCCCAGTCTCTCTCTCCCAGTCTCTCTCTCCCAGTCTCTCTCTCCCAGTCTCTCTCTCCCAGTCTCTCTCTCCCAGTCTCTCTCTCCCTCTCTGACAACAAAAAAAAAGAAGAAGAGTGACCCTGCGCGCCGCTGTTTTAACGCAGCCAATACCTTAGGTAAGTAGGATTTAGGCTGTCACTGTCGCTGTCACTGACATTGTGCATGTGGCATTACTTGCACAATGTCATATACCATCTCCAGCAGATACGCCCAAGGTCCGCACTCTTTTCATCGCACTAGAGGCCGTCCTTACTGCAGTCTTTTGGGCTATGCCCCCCTCCAAGAAGGATTGTGGTCTCTCGCACATGTCACTGTCGCTGTCACTGTCGCTGTCACTGTCACTGTGACTGTCGCTGTCGCTGTCACTGTCACTGTGCGTCCCGCTGGCCTTTGCATTGGCTCGGATTATGGCCACAGAGACTGCACTCTTGGAGGGAGCACTTTTGGTGATGCCAGCCACACAATCTCGATGATTTTGAGTCTCGAGATGTTTTTCCAGAGCATGGGCGGATTGTAAAACCACATCGCAATCATCGCAGGAGAATTTCTTCTCCGATTTCCTTGCTGCTCTGACTCTGGACGCGGTGGAATTGACTCTGTCCCTATTTTTCTCCGACCAGGCTTGCTTCCGGGCAGAACATTTTGCCAGGTACCCCTCGGGGTCCTCTGCGGTCTTTCTGGCCCGGAAGCGACGAGATGCTTCCAGGGCGCGCTCCGCCGATCGTGCGGCACGAAGAGCGGCAATGACTTCGAGTTCCTCGTAGGGGTTAGGGCTGAGTACCACGACGCATTGCCGAGGGGTGGAGAAACATCCAGATTCCCTCGGATAGCTTCTTTCAAGGAGAGATGGGAGCACAGGGGGCTCCATTCCACTGCTTCCCGCGGCCACAGTATCAAGTCTCGGAGATACATAATCGGTAATTGCAGCAACTGCTGCGTGAAAAAGGATGGTGAACGCCGCCTCCAGGACCAGGAATCGAGCTCGTACACGAGGCACGAGACCTGGGACTGGAAGCGGCGTCCAGCACAGCAAGCCAACATGGGCGATTTCGAATCCTTTCTTGAAGCGGGACTCGACCAGGCGAGGGAGCTGAGTATTGTTCGCATTGTAGGATCTCATTCGGCTTCGTGCCCCGTGATCAACATTGATGCGAAACGGGCGTGATAAGTTCGGTATTGTTCAAAAAGAGAAATAGGTTTGATGCCTGCGTCCTTAAAGGACTGGAACGCAGTGTACACCCCGAAGCTTGAGAAGGTGGATGGCACGTTTCCCTTTGCTGTGTTAAGGAAAGGGCCTTTGTGCCGGCAGACCCAATGTAGAGGCAGGGTCGACATCCCTCTTTCTCCATAACGAGAGCATAAATTCCCCAGTATAGTCCCTCCGTGTCTCCCGGAAGGGACCGGAAGAATGCCATATTAGGTGGTGAGTCGGCTGCGAGCGCATCGTCCAGCCCCGGTGCCATTGTCAACGGCGAGGCGCCGGCAACGCTGTCATAGTCTGCCCTGGCTTGGAAGAGGATTTTAAATGTAGGGTTCATGTACCATGACGGTACATCTAGCATAACCAGACCATGCACTACATTGTCGATCTTGCTGGATGGTAGATCAAGGTCCATCGTCTCGTGCTGGGCCTCGCTCTCGCTGTCGCTGAAATCCATTGTGGTTCAGGTATGCTTTGAGGGTGGTTCAGGTATGCTTTGGGGGTGCTTCAGGGGTGCTTAAAATATGGTAACCAGCGTTGTGCGAGGAGAAATTATGACGCTGGCCATTTAGAGGGCCACAGAGGGCTGTCGAGGGTATTCGCGAAGGTAGAGGATCCACAAGGGCCACAGAAGGCTTACAGAGGGCTGCAGAGAGGATTCGTGAAGGCAGATGATCTGCAAGGGCTGTCGAGCTTCTCCATGACAATCGCGTAAACAGCCCAGTATAAACCCTCTGTATCTTCTAGAAGAAGTAGTCAAGAGCAGGAGGTTTATCTGCTGCGAGGGCATCGTTCAGCCCGGGTGCCATTGTCAGAGGCGAGGCGGCGGCCACGCTATCGTAATTGATCCTAGAGAGAGAGATCAGAATATCCTGGAACAGGGGGATTGAATGAATTCAATTATGCATCGTGATAGATACATAGCTTGGCTTTTAGCTCTTGATCTTTAGGAAAGGAGGGGGGAGGGGTGTTGAGACAAGAAAGGAAAGGAGAGGATGAAAATAAAGATGAAGATAATAGGAAGGTGAGATGAGAATTTGAATTGTACAGTAGAATACCTTGGCTATGGGTATAGATAGGTATAGGTAGACTGAGAAAGTTTAACATACCCTATGTGAGGTTTCAATTCCCTTGATCGTTTGTGTAAGTCTGTAGATTGATAGAAGCTATCAGACTGTGCTATATACCTTAAGGTACAGAATATAAGCGAGGTCACATGCTATGACACCCTACGCGCTGCTGTTTTATGATTGATTGATTGATTGATTCAAAGGCCTAACGCGCCGCTGTTTTAATACAGCTAATAGGTAAGTAGTATTTAGGGTGTTACTGTCGCAGCTGTTTGCTAAACAATCGCTCGGAAACCGCATACTTCCAGCGCGAACCAGTAAGAATGATGATGAGGAGTTCCAGATGTTTACCTTCAAGTCAACTCACAGGCGAAGAACGCTGCTCTTAAGAATTTCTTGAAGAAGAATGCTGTCACTGTCGCTATTCACTGTCACTATCGCTGTCGCTGTCGCTGTCATTGTCACTATCGCTATCACTATCACTGTCACTATCGCTATCACTATCACTGTCACTATCGCTGTCACTCTCACTATCGCTATTACTATCACTGTCGCTACCTGATCAACATCAATCCCAGACCTAATATATAAGCACGCATAACAGCCAGGCTTCTTCTCCATAACAATGGCGTAAACAGCCCAGTATAAACCCTCTATATCTTCTTCCGGTCCCTTCCAGAAGAGGAGGCTCATCGTTTAGCCCCGGTGAGGTATCCGAGATCCATGTAGCATAGCTATTCGCGTTCCACCTGGCTTGCCTTGCAACAGGAAAGATATGCGCCGCGTGAAGTCCTGCAAGTTCAACCATCTTGTATCCCGTAATGGCGCAGCCTTCGTCACGCTCTCTCAGAGAATCTCGAAAGTGTTTTTGCTGTACTATGTCAGATACCGGGTGCTATTGTGAGAGGCACGCTATCGTAATTGAACCTTGTTAGAGAGAGAGAGAGATCAGAATATCCTGGAACAGGGGAATGAATTTAATTATGTATCGTGATACAAACCTTGGCTTTTAGCTCTTGATTTTTTAGGAAGGGAAAGAGGGGTAGAGGGGTGTTGAGACGAGAAAGGAAAGGAGAGGATGAAAGATGAGAAGGAAGATAATAGGAAGATCGACCTTACCATTTACCCCCTTTTTTGCCCGCTCCCCCCCCCCCCCACCAAGCAGACAGCGCGCCTCACCCACTCAAATCACTCACTCACTCACCCATCAATTCAAGTTCACGCACTCTGATATACATACACACGGCAATTCAAAGGTGAAAAAAAAATCTCATATAAAGCTCGGTAGGTAGTTCCTGAGCTGGGTATAGTGCTAGCATGCTTGATCCCCCACACCAGATATCAAAACGCCATGTTTCCCCCGGTTGTGGCTGTTATGTCGCTATAGACAATCAATCAATCAACACCTTAGCAATTAAGCCACCGCCGTTTACGCCATCCATCCATCCGTCCGTCCGTCCGTCATCATCCATCCTGGTGTTGAGCTTCTTGAAGAAACCCGACATTTTGGACAAAGAACGCCGTAAATCATCACGCCTCATCCCGCGTCATCTTCACCCCGCCTCATCCCGCCTCGCTCATGAACTTCCGCGCGTACCCCATCGAGAAACTCGGGTCCTGCTTCCACTCTACTCCCTTGCCTTGCTTCTCCGCGTAGTACGTCAGGGTCGCGATGCCGAATCCCACCGCCTCGCCGACCGAGCTCCATGGGCCGAGGGTGCCATTCACTCCAAGATCTAGGATCAGACGTTCATCTCGCTTGCACTGAGCCCAGAGCTTATCTCTCTCCCTCAGGTTATTGACCATCTTCTCCCAATCGCGTCGATCCTTCGGCTGTTCCATGTTCGCCTTGTTCCACTGCTCACGGGATACGGCGCCCAGCTGCCCAAGCAAGGCGTGCAGTTCGGGATACTTGGGCGTTTTCTTCCCAATGAAATTCCAGAGCATAAAGAACTCCTCCCAATTCTCCTGACGCGGGGCCTGGTTGCGGAACGTTGATGTCTTGTCTCGCGCGTGAAAGGCAAGCATATAACCCAACAGACCCTCGATGCCACTCATGACACCGCTCTTGCGCTCGCTCTCGGTAGCGTCTGGTTTCTTCAGCACGGCGTCCATCTTTCGCTTCAGCGTGGTACCGACGGCGAAGAATTTGTCGTTTTCCTGCGCGGCGCGCGTCAACTCCTGGCTGACAACTTGAGGAGTCAACCCGTTGATCCTCGATTTCTCGGCCGAAGCTGGGGTGCTGCTATTTCCGCCCTGAGGGGTTCGGGCATGACCATCGCTGGAATCAACCCTACGCATTGCGACGCTCTTCATGGCGTCCCCCTTCTTCGGCGTCGCCATCAGACCCTTCTCTTTGGATGCACTCGCACCAGCTTGAGCAGTAGGCTTGCTGGTCGGCGTAGAGGCTTTGGAAATATCGGTATTTTCGGCTCCTTTGGCACGCTTTGGTGCTGGTTCGTTGCGGCCAGACAAATCACTCGGTGGCCGCTTCTTGGCAGTTGAAGTAGCGGGAGCTTTGGTACTGCGGCTTGCGGCGATCGGAGTATCATCCTCTGAATCAGATCTTCCCTTGACAGGAGGTGCAGCGGATGCCGACCTTTCCCGAAGGCGCTCGGCTTCATGCTTCTTGATAGATTTCGAGGGCAAAGCGAGGATACGTCCAATGTCCTTTGCCAGCCGCTTTTTGTACCGAATCTTCACGACAAAGCTATCGACCTCCTTCTCCTCGACCTTCTTGCTAGACTCGCCATGACTCTTCTTTGGTGGATGGCCAACCTTCGGTCTCTGTGTCTTTTGAGCAACACCCAGGGCGCCAGGCTGACGAACCTTTTCATGGCGAGCTTCGACAGTGTTGAGACCACTAGAGCCTTTCTCTTTGAGCCGGAGAAGCTCTGCTTCGACGATGTCTGGGAGGTCGGGAGACAAGAGTTTAGGGAGGACGAAAGGAGGCAGGTCTTGCGAGAGCTTTGGTGTCGAATAAGGCGATGAGGTAGACGAAACCTTTTTCGGATGGGTAGGCTTAGTAGTGGTAGAATTAGGGGTCACTCCCTTCGACTTTTGGGAGGGGCTTTTGGGAGGCGTGCTCTTCTCGGATTCGGGCATCTTAAAACCTGTCGGACCTGTCTCTGGGGGAATAACCAAATCGTCCGGTAAAGGAGATAATATTTTGGGGAGATTCAAAGGCTTTTCTGGGGATATTGAAGCGCTGGTCTTGGTCCCATTTGGCTTCCTATCGGCAGAGGCATCCTTCTTGGGCGGTGGTGATGCCCGGGAAGGAGCCGCTGCTGGAGCCTTTCGGGCGGTAGATGGTTTTTGTTCGGAAGAAGCTTCTGACTTGCGAGGCACTGGAGGTGTTCTCGCGTCAGCATGCTCAATTTTGGCACGCTTCTCGGGATGAGACGCATCACTCGACGCGTGCGGTCTCTTCTGCTGTCTGGGCTCCGAGTTGTCTCGTCGCGGGGACTGGGGGCCGGGAGAAGGGGGGTATTTGGGAGGTTCCTTTGTTTGGGAATTTGGCCTCGAGGATGCTCGATCGCTGTTTGCGTCTTTAGGTTGCGACTCGCGCGTTGAGTGACCGTTTACTGTAGCACGGTTCTTTTCTACACCTCTTGCCTCGGGATGTGTTGTTTGGGACGGCGCATGTCTGTATATAACATATTAACACTGCTGCGATGTGAAATGGGATTGTGTAGCCTACCTCTCCTCCTGGACAGGAGCCTTATGCCCAACGGGACCCGATGCGCCCGTCCCGTCCTGCCTGTGATAACCCTCAGAAGAAGGTATTCGACCCATAGGAGTATCATTCGAGGTCGCACTTGCACTTCTTGCATGCCCTGCTTTGAGATCAGTGGTATCGGATCTGTGCTTCGACTCGGACATCGCAGTGGAGGGTTTCGGAAGAGGTTTGAGCCCGGTCGTCTTCAGATTCTTATAATCCGCAATGGACATTTTCACGGAAGGCTTTTTGGCTTCTCTCTGAGGATTTGGAGTAGATGTGTTGCTTTGCGCCCCGCTGCTGAGAGGAGGACTGAGACTTTCTTGCCAATTGCCCATAGTATGTCCCACCCCACGGTCGCCATTAGAGATTAGGGTCATGTATTGGAGTGCCATGACTTCCTTCTGATCGAAGGGGGTATTTTGGTTTTCATAGATGAAGGTCGGTTGGTATGGTGTCTTGGTAGGGACGGAGAAGAGGTGGGGTATCTGCTGAAAGATGAGCAGGGAAGAAGACAGCGAATTGGGAGCAGGGAGCTTACGCTGGGCAGGATTCTCTGCGAGAGAAAGCTGATCTGCTTATCTGCACCTCCCATACCCGCCGCAGATGCCATGGCACCTGACTGGGGCTGCTTGAGCTCCATGGGGGAGAGGTAGTGTTTGTGGGATGTTGGGCTGTGGATCGAGAAGGGAATATTGACCGCTGGAAAAGAGTCGAGAGAAGTTGTAGATGGTAGAGAGAGAAGGAAATGATTCGTACATCTGGAAATCGGTGTAGGAGGGTCCGCGGAGGCCGAAGAGTGAGATGGCGACAAGAAATCGAGGAGAAGTTGTGCGGGTTGTATTGTATGGTGTTGTACGGTGTTGTATGGTATCGAATGGAATGGTATGTAGAGATTGTGATTGTATGGACGATTGTGATGGAAAATGCCCTGATCAAGGGCTATTCATTGTCGCCAGGCCCTCCTCGGCATCAACACGTCAGCGCGAAGTCATAGAAGTGATGCGCGACGTGGATTGTCGAAGGCGGTGGCATCCAAAAGGCGTCTGCGGTGGAGCTGGAGCTGGAACTGGGGTTTTGGTGGTTCGTGACGGAGACGGAGACGGAGACGGAGACGGATGGGCCGTTTGGCGGAGGATGTGTGGCTGGGATCTGGGCAACGAGGCTAGAGTTGGGCGTCAAGGGCGCTTATTTTTGACGCTCTTCTTATTCTCTCTTTGATTTTCTTCTTCTTTTCTTATCTACTTCTCTTCTTCTTCTCTCCTCCTTCTCTCCTCTTGAATCTATCTATCAAAATTACATTAATCCATAAGGTAATCACAAGAGCATTACAGACATACGCGTCTCTTTCAGCTTCCCAAGGCCAGAGACAGAGACAGCGAACGGACTGGGCAACAAAGAAGACATCTGAGATTCCCCTTGAAACTCCCCTACAAAGGTATAACAGCAAAATGTATTCACGTAAGAATCCCCTTGGCCTGACCGGCGGCATCCGCTTCCCCCGCAACGCAACCGATGGAAACAAGTGGGACCTCCATCTGACATGATTCACGTGATATCAAAACTCCTAGGACTGACGACCAGCATCAGCTCAGGCGGTCTATGGACTTGGCCTGTGAAGGCAACGGATGCTTCCAAGTAACCCCATCTTCCGGGATACCACGCGATCCGCAGTCTATCTGCACTCGATCCTATGCACATATGCGCCTCCCGCCCATGCTATGAACAGACCATTGGAAATGCCCCTCCAGCGCCATGCTAATAACCCATGCCATGCCATGCCAATGTATGTGAACACTCAAGGAGAAAAGCAGTCGTCGCAGAGCCAGGGTCCATTTATAGGTCTCCCCGACTCCCCAGCACACTTGCGATGATAGAATCGACCTTTGCATTCCTACAGGGATGAGCATAAGTCCGTCTCCAAGGGCATTCTAGGAACAACTTACCGGGCCGCGACAAATAACACGATCTAGTGGTTGTGTATGTTCCCCGCAAATGCAATCCAGTATGCCTCTAAGCTTTGTAGATGACCCCGACGTCTCTGTATTATGCATCTCAGTATCTTCTCCTCTCTCTGCCCTTTTCCCTTTCGTCTTCTCTGCTGTCCTCAAGATGTCAGCGCACTTATCAAGACACTGTTGCTCAACAACGCCTCGCATAATGAACGTCTCCATCAGCTTGCAGAATTCGGCTTTGCGGCTTTTCCTCTCGGCAAACCAATCCACGTTGGCCTCCACGAACCGTAGACAAGCTTCTGGTAGATACTTCTCGCACGTGAGATGCATCTCCATGATAAATGGGTTCCATCTGGTAATGTAATCTTTCTCATCATCAGTAACATCAGTGAAGTCCAGGATAATATCACGATGTTTCTGGTGAAGCCAGCCTTCATCTTTCTCATCATCACTATCCGGGATCTCTTCCCCTGGCTGCAGAATTCGCTTTGTGACGGTATCATATAGCGGCTTACGTGTCTTCGGGACGTAAAAGATCTTCCTTGGTCGAATAGGTACTTTGGGTTGCTCATTGTCAAGATCCATGACTCCATCTGTATCGTTCGATGTGTTTGGAGAGCTATGCCGTGAATCGTGTGGGGATGAAGATAGGGAGGACTCGTGGTATCGATCGATGAGGTGCTCAGGCCACTGATTGTGTTGTGGCCCCTCCCGTGCCTTCACCCAGCTTTCATCTCCATTCAAATACTTCTCCAGGTCGAATAGAGTCATAGGCCTGCCAAGCTGGAATGTTTTTACGCGCTCCGCTGAACTCGATCGAGGGCCTTGCTTTGCCGCCTCAACGAAGAATCCAGCTCTGGATGTGTTGGACCTACGCAATGCAAACTTGAAGTTGGTATGGTTTGTATGTAGATGCAACCTCAAGTCCTCGAGACGTCTTAGACGACGATTGCAGAAAGGACACATCAAGCCAACGACAGAGGTTTGTTGCTTTATGCCCAGCTCTGCAGCATCTGCTTTGCCGAAACCGTACGTTACAGTCATACCTTCTGAATCTTCTGTGGAAGCCTGGACGGATTTGGATCTGAGATTTCTGCGGGCCCTCGGGGATTTGCCTTGTGCTTGAGCGCTTAAGGTTTTCAGATTATAGGTTGGAACATTTGATCGGCGCCTCGAAGCACGATCTACTGGGCTATTGGGGGCAGACAGTAGCTCCCCCTTGACTTTCCGTGTTAATGGAGATGCTGGAATAGTCTCAGCAATAGCAGCTGTTGATGTGACGCCTCGGGGAGACTCAATCTTTGGAATCCTCGTTGGCAAATCGCAGAATTTGTTTGGCAAAGACCATTGCATTTTGATCTGCAGGCCGTATGGTACCTTCTGTTTGATTGAGCCATAAGAGACCTTGAGATCAACAGATCTGATTTGACGATCTGGATCTAGTAACCCAGGCATACTACAAACCAGACAAAGATCATTTTGCGTCACTTTGCCCGAAAGAAGAAGCTCCGTTACGGGACTGGAATCAGATGAGCTATCATCAATTGCATTTAGATCCGTGGAGGCTGTAATTTCAAAAGGTGGCCACTGTTTTTGGGAGCCTACAGGCTCCAAAGTGACTTGGACGTAGTACTTATCCCCGAAATCGAACTCGTACTCGTACTCCCCAAAATGGTTGGTCTTCCTCCGGTTGACGTAGAATTCTTCGGAAGATAGAATAAAGGGCTCGAGAAGAATAAGTTTTCTAGAAATTTCTCCATCGTCGTTAAAAGTGGTCCGTAAAGTACAGCTCTTATATTTTCGATAGACCTCAAGGTAGTCCTGTTGCCGAATAGGCCCTGGAGGATCCTCATCATTCTTTGCGCAGAAGAGTGCCACCGAACAGCGACATTTGGTGTCGATAGGACTCTTACGACCTCTGGTGAACTCCAATGGCTCATCTCCAGTTGGGGGTTTTGGTACAATGCTGATAACCTCAACCTTCAATGCCCTCTTGAAATCTACAGGCGTTTCGGGTAAGATGCCTTTGATGGATGTCTTGCTGCCTCTCGATGCTACTTCTTCTTGCTTTGGAGTCGAATTTGATTGGCGGCTTGAAGTAACAGAGCGAGATCTCCCATAGAAGTCAGATGGTCGAACAGCTCGGAGCTTTTCTGATAATCGAGATGCCGCTCCTCTACTCTCATTTGTCACATGACCAAATGGTTTGCGCCGGGGAGATACATCATCGAACGGGGAGGCATTGCTGGTACTGTTGAAGTCGCTAGTCTTGCGTCGTTTCGCTGGTCTGATATCCTCCTCATCTTCGTCGTCAGGAGGAGTCAGCGCCTCTGCTCGCGCCTTCAGCCCAGTCGACGTAGTCAGAGATGATAGTGTAGACCCCATCGTGAGATATTGTAGAGCCTTTCGAACATTCCTCTGCAAGAAAGGCTGGGAGTGACGATAGCGAGATCGATACCTTTCAATGACACCTTCACCTTCACTTCTGAGCGTCGCGAGGGACATATCTCGTAACAATAAGGCTCGCCAGCCTACAAGGGTCCGTTTGGGCCATACAAAGCAGCTGTGAGAAGAGAATGACGTCCTGGAGCCGCGGGAAGCTGGTCAATGATTCGGCTGTACTATGGGTGGGATTGTGAGGCTGAGGGCGGGCCTTAGGAGAAGAAGCGGATAGAGCGCGTCGGTATCCTATTGGCGATGTAGAGGAACTGACCCCAAGAGAAGGTGAGAAGGAAAAGAGAGACAAGAACTGCAGCTATCCACAAGATGAGCCTCAGCGCCGACCAGACAATCAGAATAGTATCTGGGTCGGGGGAGAAGACTGTTGATGAGTTTCCAAGTAAAGATCTTTATTTACGCTGTACGACCAACAAACCAGCGGAAGCACGTGAGGCAGTATCGGCGGGAGGAAGCAGACGCTAGACCCAGACAGGCCTGGCGCGACGGTGGAATTTAGCGCCGTTAGCGAGGACGATCCTGGGCGTGGCGGCGCCAGGCTGCAAGGCTGTCAGGCTGCCAGGCATGAACCATAGTTATTCCGTAGATATTCCGGGTGCGGGCGGACAGGGCTGCATGAGAGCAGAAGACTTCCAGAAAATCATCGTTGATTGAAACCGTCAACCCCAAACCCCAGCAGACATCTGGCAGAACAGAGCACAGTTCCGTTCTTGTCAGTCGCATACAAACATTGCTTGCTCCCGATGATTGAATAGAGTGTGTGCTGCGGGCTCAGAGCAGCCTCTCTGCAAACATGGCTTCTTCTGCTTCTCGCCGCGCATTGCGAACCCCGCCGCGATCTACTCGAACCAAACCGCGGATTTCCTACGCAGAGCCTTCGTCCGACAGCGACCTCGATGCGGAAGAGGACTATTCAGACGATGACAATGACAATGACAATTCGCCCGCACCTCCAATTAGCAACCGCCCTCGAAGAAATACAAAACCCAGAGCTTCAGCTAAACGGCAACGTTCTTCCAACCCCCGCTCGGGCGATGGGCTTGATTCCGCTCCCAAGAGACGCAAGCAATCAAAACGTACTTCTCCGAGACACATTACTGCCAGCTCGACTGATATAGACACAATTAAGACGAATGGCATTATTCCCCCATGGCAGAGCCTCCCCTACCACATCTTCGTCCAGATCTTCCAATACGCTACCTACCCTCTTTACGATGACCATACCTTCCAACCTCTTGCCTCTGGCTCATGGCTCCTCAAAATCGCACGTCTATGTCGATCATTTGCAGAGCCTGCCTTCACCGTCCTCTACGCTTCACCTCCTCTCGTCCCAATGGACAAGGCACACATGTTGGTGGACCTGCTGAAGAGGGACCCCAATACCCTGGCATTCAAGTATAGGCAGAAGGTTGAATCACTTCGGATAGATGTTGGACAGGTCGCTGCCTATTCTCTACCAGGGAGCGGACACCTCGATCTGTTTAGCTTTGTTAAGGATCTGCCACGATTGTTCGACTTGGAGTTCTACCATCAGAAAGACATGTCCCCATATCGAAACCTGGATGATACGATCAAGTGGAGTTACCCAGAATCGCTATTCCAGGCGCTCGAGTACATTGATCCGAACGCTGACCCCAAGCGGGGCGACAAGACAAGTGTCTGTAAACTGAGGAGTTGGCGTTGGTCATCCAGATTGGCTGGGAAGAAGTACCCTATCGAGTCGATTCGTGAGATGCATCTCAAGCCTTCATTTGCCAGCCTTCGGAAGATCGCGTTTGTAAATTACCAAATCCCTTTGGTGCGGAAAGGGGATGAAGAACCCCCCAAGCACGAAAATATCCTCGCAGACGCTTTGTCGATCCTCCCGAACCTCGAGCACTTGATTTTCGAATCTTCGACTCTTGTCAATGCGAAGCTACTTCCTCTACTCCCCAAGAATTTACGCAATCTGGAGCTCATCAACTGTTGGGAGGTTATCGCCGATGACTTTGCAGAATTCCTCCTCACCCACGGTAGTCAACTTCGCTGCCTCACCCTCAATCACAACCAATCTCTAAGTCTGTCATTCCTACCAGTCCTTGGTACAGCATGTCCAAAGCTTGAGGTCTTCAGGATGAACCTCACATACTTCAACCTCCACGCCACGTACCGAGACTCAGAACCGCAATACGAGCAACTGCTCCTCCCGAGCGAAGTTCCTGCCTGGCCAAGAACAATGCAAACGATCGAGCTGATTCAACTCCGCAAATGGGAGACTGAAGCAGCAGAGATGTTCTTCCAAAGTCTCCTCGACAGCGCAGCTACCTTACCTGATCTTCGCCGATTGACAATTCAGGCGATCCTGAATATCGGTTGGCGAGACAGGGCTTCTTTCCGCGATAGATGGGTTGGATCTCTCGACCGGGTATTCAGAAGAGTTTCCGAACCTCCCCGAAAACATGTCAGCGTCGCGTTCGAGAAAGACATCCCGCCGGAGCAGCTCGACGAGCGGGATGACTCAAACCAATTACCTCCAACCTCTACCCTCATAACCAACCGCTCTCGACCCAAGAGCTCAGAAGCAGCACCCACCCGCCGCTCAACACGCACCAGCACCAGACAAGCTCAAACAGGCAAATACACCGAAAGCCCCGACCATTCCTCGACCGAAGACAACGACCCGCAACCCTCGCAACGCCAACTCACGCGGCAAAACCGCATCCAGCGCGAACTCGCCATCCTCCGCGAAACCGCCGGCACCGATTCCCCCCTCGCCTCTCTCAGCCCGCCGCAATCCTCCTCCTCCTCTTCCTCGTCGGATGCGCACGCGCACGCAGAAAGCGATCCCGGGAAGAAAGAGCAGGTGATACAGGGCATGTGCGAGGTGGTCGATATCAGGATCGATAATCTGAGACCGCGCGAGACGCAGGCGACGGAAGCGGATTTTCTGGACGAGGAGGCGCCCGGGGATGGCGATTGGAATGGGGAGGATGTGGTGGAGGAGGGGTATGCGTGGTAGTAGTTTGTTTCCTTAACGTTACTTTACTTTACTTTTCGTTTCGGGATCAGGATCAGGATCAGGATCTGGGGATAGGGATGGGCATGGGCATGTGGCGTTTAAGGGATCGGGGAAAGGTTCTTGTGGAATGCAAGGTATGCATGCATGGATGGATAGTTTGGGTGTTATAGGTAGGAAGGGAGGTAGACTGACTGACTGACTGACTGTGTTGCTTGATACATGAATTCCTTAATTACCTACCTTCTCTTCTCTAACCCACCCTACCCTATTCATTCATCAGACCGGTCAAAAGAAAACAAAAGAAAAGAAAAACCAGTCAGTCAGTCAGTTAGTTAGTTATTGTACATTAGAAGAAGAAGCACAATCAACCAAATCAATCAATCAATCAATCAATCGAACATAATCCATTCAGCTCGATCATTATCACCCGCCCTCTCTTTTTGAGGCATTTGACATACGATCGATCGATTTCTATCTATTATGGCTAAAAGAAAATGATGTGGATTGTTTGTTTTATTTTTCATTTTTCATTATATAGTTTAGGTATACAGGTAGGTTGGGGGTTGGGGGTTGGGGGGGGGGGGCGTCATTTAATTTATTTATTTATTTATTTAATCCTCTAAGTTGAGGATTCTTCTAGGTATTCTTCTCCTGGTAGATTGATAGACTAGTATTGCTACTTCACCCCGGATCTGTAGCTGTAGCTGTGTTTTGTGACATGCTGAGCGAGATATTGTGAGGAAGTTGGTTCGTTTGCTGTGGTTTCTACATCTTCATTTATATCTCTGACAGCCTCAGTGTCGAGAGATAGAGACAATCCCCCGGCCTCCTCCTCCTCCTCCTCATTCAACACGAAACTCCAAGCTAGGCCTACGATACTAATGCCAGCGACCCAGACCCACCACGCGAAGCCCACGAGACGATGTTCAAGACCCCAAGCGAAAGCGGCGCCGCCGACGATCGGGCCCAGAGCGCGAGCCAACGCGTTCGCCATGTTACCGACGCCGTGGACGGCGCTGAGGTGGTGGGGCGCGGCGGCGGCGTTGGTGAGGAGGATGATGGAGGAGGGGATTGCGAAGGTGCGGGCGGAGACTTGGAGGAGGAGGAGGAGGATGAGGGAGGGGATGTGGAGGGAGGGGGGCAGGAGGGCGAGGTAGGGGACGAGGAGGTAGGGGAGGGGAAAGAGGGAGAGCGCGAGGCGGTAGGTGCGGAGGGTACGGAGACGCGTGTGGATGCGGGGGTAGATTAGCATTTGGATGAGGATGCCGTAGATGCTGGAGGTGGAGAGGTAGAGGCCGATTTGGGAGGCGGGAAGGCCGAGACCACCGGTGAAGGAGATGGGGGAGGAAGGGGGATCGGGGGAGGGAGGCGTGGAGAGGAATATGGGGAAGAGGTTCATGAAGGCGCTGTTGTGGAGGGGGAAGAGCGCGAATGATAGGATGGTGGTCAGTACGCGGCGGGTGTAAATGGAGCGCGAGGTGATGGAGAGTTTGGGGGGTGGTCGGGTGCTGGTTTCAGGGGTCGAGGTGATGCTGGGTAAGGAGAGGAGGGAGAGTTCGGATGTGTTGCTGTCGGACGTTTCGAGGGCAGAATATCCTGCTGCGCGCCCTTGGAAGATGCGTCTGGCAGTCCTCTTTACCGCAGCCCAGGCTCGCAGTCCTACATCCTCCCGCCCCGTCCACCCGGGCATCGTCTCGCGCAGGCCAAAGACAGCCAGACAGAGGCTGCAGAAGAGCACACACGCGTTGAAGATAGTCGGGAGCGCAAAAGGGAACGCGCGCATCCAGGCGACGCCCTGCTCGTAGCCCCCGATATTCCACACGCCCTTGGGCCCAAACAGCCACGCCAGGTTGACGACGGGATCAGCTAGCAGCCCACCCACTGCTAAGCCGACAACGTTTCCGGTGTTGAAGACGAGCGGGAGGAGCAGGAAGGCGCGCGACTGGTATTTCTTCTCACGCACCATCTCCGCTGTCATGGTGCGCATGACGCCGATGTTCCCATTGGCGACGCCGGCGAGCACGCGCCAGACCATCAGAGCGGGTATGGTGGTGCTGAATCCGAAACCAAGGTTGGCGATGATGGAGAGGACAAGGCCCACGATAATGGAGGGTTTGCGACCCCAGCGGTTGGCGACGGCGGCCCATGGGACGGAGGTGGCGAACTGGGCGAGTGCGAACAGGGCGACGAGGAGGCCGGCCTGGCGCGAGATGGAGACGGGCGAGGAGGTGTCGACGGGCTGCAGAGAGCGGATCAGGTAGTAGATGTAGGGCAGGAGGCAGGTGTTGGAGAGCGGTTCTGAGAGGCGGCAGAGGGCGAGGATGAAGAGTTGGGTTTTGTGCGGGAGGGAGAGCCAAGTGATGGGGGCCTCGTTCTTGTGTGCTGCGTCTCCAGAGGAGGAATCCTCTTGGACGGGTTGGGCAGTGAGACGCATCGTCTGTCTAGCAGCAGCGAGTTTGAGGTCGAATCTCTGAGGTCAAGAGCGAATGTCTGCGAGTGGTTGGGGGGCTTGAACGAGGGGAATGGGAGCTTGATAGCTGTGTATCTTGCAGCATATTAGGAAGAACTGAAGCTATTCAGACGTGGGAAACGAAAGGGGGGAAGGAGATAGAACGGAAAGAGAATTGGAGAGATAGATGGGGAGATGCAGAGATGCAGAGAGAGATAGGAAGAAAGAAGGGAGAAGAGAAGAAGAGAAGAAAAGAAGAAAGGAAAAAAGAAATGGGAACTGAAGAATCCAAAGCACTATGATCTCTCTTATCGGGACACACGGGACATTCTGTGCAGTTGTCCCCCTCCTGGTGATGTGCGGAAAGGGGTTAGCGGCGGGGGTACCTGCGCAAGGTTACTTGGTACGTGGATAAATACATCCCTGCCGTGTGCTTGGATACGAGGTCTTTGCGGCTTTAACTGGATAGAGAGACCTCTCTAAATGATAGTCGTATTCGATATAACGTCCTTGGAATGAGGGGTGTGATTACCATAAACTGCACATGTACCATCTGCTATTACTATAATACCATAATATTTTTATCTACCGATTAGAACGCCGCACTCCATCACATTTAAATGTCCCAATCAATAACAACATTCCCAACCAACAGAATTGAACCGATACGTGAACAGAAACCCCTGACATTGTCCCGTGTGGCGCTCTGGCTGGCCGTCTATCTGACCTTTACCCCTGGGAACTAAACCCCTTTGGCCCGACCCTCGATGTTCTATGGCGGCTGGATTCTCCTTCGGGGTTGACTGCCCTTGACAATCAACTGCTACGTGCACTTTTCACTTCGACCTCTCTTCCCATCACCGCCTCGATCCCTGCGCCGCTGTCCGCTCCTCGTACAGCGGGTACGGCAGGGGACGGCCGGGGACATGCCTTGCTGATGGACGGTGTGATTTGCCGCGCGAGAAACTATAGCCCTGTGGAAGATTGAACTTCTGTGATGCGGCCAGCCACATGTCCTGGGTGGCCTTCGACGGCAAGGTCTGATCGTTGAGGTATTCATGGCTCTCACTGCTCTCTCTCTCCTCCACGTCCACCATCGATGATCATCCGTCTCTGACAGCTGTCGGGTTGTCAATCCCTCTGCCGACTCGCAGATCTCGAGTCCACTCGCCGTCGTCCCCACTCTGCCCCGCGATGAAGCTCGGCCATCTGCCCGCGGGAGTGCCCTTCCGTCTCTACTCGCTGTGTGCATTTTTTGGTCTGGGCTCTTTCTTATGGGGGTGAGTTACCAGTGCTATTCCTGCCAGTATTTTCTCTGGCAGAGCTTTACTTCTTCCTGCTTGCCGATGTTGCTCTGGTCGTCGACGTTGTTGTTTCTTGTGGGGAAAGAAACAGGGGTCGTGCGCATCAATTGCTGATCTCTTGCTCTCCTATCCAGCTACAACATTGGCATCATCACCAGCATCTATGTCTCCCCTGGCTGGATCGTCTCCCTCCACCACCCCTCCTCCTCCCACAAGGGCCTCATCACCGCAATCTACTATCTGGGAACATGGACCTCGTATATCTTCATCTCTGGCGCGGCGAGCGATCGTATTGGGAGGAGGTATACGGCTCTTGTAGGGACCGTCCTCACCTGCGTGGGCGCCGCCGTACAGACCGGCGCGCGGGGCCATACTGCCTTCGCCATGATGATCATCGGGAGGATCATCTGCGGTTTTGGGAATGCCATGATCTCTTCTGCGGTCCCTCTATACCTGAGGTTCGTATGGTAGTTGAGCTGTCTTGGACAGAGCTGATCTAGCACTTAGTGAAATTGCTCCGGCGGGTAAGAGAGGATCACTGGTTGTGATCAACCATATTGGCATGGTCGGGGGTCTCAGTGTTGCTTTCTGGTTGGTCGCATCACGCTTGTGCTGGTTAAGGACGAGAAATAATACTCTATAGGGTAGGATATGGCTTATCCCACTGGAACGGGCATACAGGATTTGTCGAGTCTTGGAGACTCTCTGTTGCGCTCCAGTTCATTCCAGCAGTCATCTTCATTACTGGATTGCCTTTCTGTCTGGAGACGTGCGTTCTTGATCCATGATACCTACAATGGTCCCATTTTGAACGACCTGGCTAACATTGTCCAGTCCCCGCTGGCTCATCGAGAAAGGTCGCATTGAAGAGGCTCGGAGATCCCTCCAATATCTTCGAGGTCAAGATGGCAATCCTGAGGCCGTGGAGGATGAACTCCACCAGATTCAGCAAGACATTGAGCTCCACCACAGCGAACAGAAGTCACCCTGGACCGTCCTCTTCACAGACCGTGATCTGTTCGCTCGGCTTTGGCGGGCTGCCCTGCTGCAATTCATGGCTCAAATGTGCGGATCTACGGCTATCAAATACTACCTCCCTACGAACTTCTTGGCGCTGGGCCTTGGAAAGGAGCTGAGCCTGTTGGCAAGCGGCATCGAGAGTTCTTTGAAGGTTGCATGCACTATCATGGAGATGATGATCATCGACAAGGCTGGGCGACGCCGTACACTGATTCTTGGCTCCGTCGTGATGTCCATCGCCCTACTAGCAAGTCCACCCTTTCCCCAATACCACACGGCACTAACACATCACAGCTGAATGGCGCATTGCCAGAGGCATACCCGAACAACACTAACCACGCATCGGACTATGCCTGCATCGTCTTCATCTTCTTCTTCTCCTTCGGCTACTCCGTCGGCTTCGGCCCCAACGCCTGGGTCTACAGCACCGAGATCTTCCCCACGCACGTGCGCGCTCTCGGTCTCAACGTCTCTGCCAGCGCAGGCGCCATCGGCTCCATCGTCGTAGCTCAGATCTGGCCCGTCGCGATCCAGAATATTGGCTCGAAAACCTATTACATATTCTTCTCTTTCAATGCCGCTTCTGTTATCGTAAGTCTCTAATCACGTTGGGGATTGATAGATGCGTGGTCGTGGGTGTGAGTGTGTATATGCTGATTCCGGATGATAGCTACTATACGTCTTCTACCCTGAGACCAAAGGCCGCACGCTCGAGAAGATGGACTCGTTATTCAGTCGGCTGAGCTCGGACACAGAGCGCAATCCGGTCGAGCGCGTTGAGATTGTGGACGAGGTCAAGAAATGAGCGGCGTCTCTGGCTTCTCTGTCCCTGGCTGTATTTGGAATAATGCATATCTGAAATATGGTAAGAGATGAGGAAAGAAAAAAGTTACGTGTATAGAATTAATGAGCAAGGTATAATGTCCAGTTATAAATTAGTAATTGCTGCCAGATTTCCAGGCTCTTCTCCTGACCAAGGTACCTAGGTAGGTAGGTAAGCAACGAATGGCATTCCTCCTACAGGCATCTCAGGAGTTAGGAAGTTTACAAGATTTGATAGTGTATGATTGGATGCATATTTTAAGCATGGGCAATACCGTAATACGTCCGTATATCTCAGAGTTTGTTTGTGAGAACCAGCCTCTCCTTTCTTTTCCCCATAATGAATACTCGGGTAAAATAGGTAGGTTTCCATCTCTTCTCTCCCATCTATCTATCTACTGTATCTACCTACCTATCTATATCATGACACTTATGTTTAATACCAATTACAAGATATATATATAATAAAAAAAAAAAGAAGGGGCAGGGAGGGCGGCAGACACAACCCATCCATCCATCTATCGCCTTTCTTCTTCCGCCCCGTTTCAAATTCCAAAGCCAGCCTTTAGAATATCAGGATTGGTTGGTAGGTAGGTAGGTAGGTATTGATCAATAGGTTTAATAATCAGGGTATAAGACTATTATAATTTATCATGTCTGGAATCTTCCTTCCTATTGTTGTAGGAATTGGCTATTTTTTTCATGACATGTTGAATAGCATGGCTCTCTAGTTCTTCAGATTATCGATCTTATGGTTTTTTTTACTTAGTGAGTTGTCCAAGAGTTGCGCTGTCTTCTTCGCATTGCCTTAGAATGACTAGGTAGGTAACTTACCTTACCTAAGATACCATGTTTATGGATGGTTGGAGCTAGTTAATAGAATCTAACTCGCCCACAGCTGTGAAGTCTCGAAATGCGAGAGCTCGAGGATCCCTCCTACAAGTCCAGAGAGCTTGAGAAGAGAGTTCTTGCAGAGAGTTATGAAAATAAGGGGCTTAAGCAGACGAGACTTCTTCGATTTCCACTATTCTCTGATTTTTTTTTACTAGGATGCAATGGCTCGCTTCGCTCGCGTGAGTGCAATGCTGAGTCATAGGGGCAGAAGCCAAGTCTTTTGATGTTATACTGATTTTACTACTGTAACAGAAACTGTAGGCTGTTTAATTATGTACGCCGGTTTAGACCTGTTATATAGCCTTAAAAACGCTCTGATTTCACCCTGTTATATAGCCTTAAAACGCTCTAAATTCAACCCGTTATATAGCCTCGAAAACGCTCGAATCTAACCCGTTATATAGCCTTAAAAACGCTCGAATCCAACCCGTTATATAGGTAGTCCTAAAAACGCTCGAATCTAACCCGTTATATAGCCTTAAAAACGCTCGGGTTTAACGCCGTTATATGCTAGTAAAAACACTCGAATTCAACCTGTTATATGCCAGTAAAAACACTCGAATCTAACCCGTTATATAGCCTTAAAAACGCTCGGGTTTAACGCCGTTATATGCTAGTAAAAACACTCGAATTCAACCCGTTATATGCTAGTAAAAACACTCGAATTTAACCCGTTATATAGCCTTAAAAACGCTCGAATCCAACCTGTTATATAGGTAGCCTTAAAAACGCTCGGGTTTAACGCCGTTATATGCCAGTAAAAACACTCGAATTCAACCCGTTATATAGTCCTAAAAACGCTCGGGCTTAACGCCGTTATATGCTAGTAAAAACACTCGAATTCAGCCTGTTATATAGCCTCGACAACACTCGGATTCGACGCCGTTATATACCTCAAAAAAGCTCTGATTTTGTACTGTTATATACCTCGAAAACGCTCTGATTTGACGCCGTTATATGCCTTGAAAACGGTCTGATTTAACGCCGTTATATGCCTTAAAAACGGTCTAATTCGACGCCGTTATATGCCTCGAGAACGCTCGGATTCTGTGCCGTTATATAGCCTCGACAACACCCGGATTCGACGCCGTTATATGCCTTACCTATAGAGCCACTTACCTGTAGGGCTGCTTACCTGTAGGGCTACCTGTATGGCCGCTTGTAGTAGCACCTGTAGCATGTCTGTTCGAGTGCCTGTTCGAGTGCCTGTTCGAGTGCCTGTTCGAGTGCCTGTTCGAGTG